CAGGGTGTATGGACAGTTGGATCGCAACGACCTACAAAATAAATCCTGCTCATGGCACTCCTCCTTGCATTGCTTTTCAGGTCTTGATTGAAAAGTACAGTGCTTAACTCTTTCTTTGAAAGGGGGTCCCTTTAGCAAACATCTTTTATGACGAGAGATTCTCCTCCTGCAAGCAGGCATTGCAGAAAATGAAACAACCCAAAGACAATGTTGTGTTGACCTTCTAAAACTGCAGAGGAACATGGCCCTTCATACCTCTTTATATGGCCCTCAAAACTCTCCCCCAAGCCACAGCCCTGCTTCACTCCCCCCTCCCTTTGAGTACTTTTGTCTGGTTGGAAACATTTCCTTGGACTCTGATTGCGTCTCTTGCTTCTTTCTATGGAGGGCAAAGACGTGTGTAGAAACCAGCCTACTGTACACAGGCAAAATTTGCATCTGTTGCTCCGCCCATGTTTGCCTCTGGCCCCGCCCACCACCACTCATATGCCGCAATGCGAAAGTTGTCCAGAAGGTAATGTGGCCCCTGCAATAGATTCCTTATCTCTGCTGTAGGGGCTCCAGGTGAGATTTGGTGAGAGCGAATGCCATTCTCGTAGTAATTTTTCAATATGCAAGGGAGGATGGCAACAAATTGTTGTAGCATGGAATGGCACATTTTAGAATTCCATCTGCTCCATTCTTCCTCCCCAGTTTTCTCACTCCTCAATAGCTGATCGGTGGTAGGTGTGCAGAAGAAACTTGAGTTTTGTTTCCATTTTTACAAGAAACAACCCAATTCTCATCTTTCCAGTCGGTGTGCGCAAACTGAAACATCACTATCCCTTGAAGTTCACGCTTCCTCAAATTTTGCAATGCAGCTGTCCTAGTGAAAATAACCTTAAAAAATGCATGGCATGAGTGGAAATGCCTTGCAAAAATGTGCAGATGGGCCTAAACTAAAAAAACGATGAATTTTCATGGGCATTTTATTTCATAAAATTCATAAACCACTTGATTCTTTTTTAAAAAACAACAACCACAACCCAAAGTGGTTTACAAAAACATAGCATAAAATAATTGGTAAAAACCAATCATATGTTCAAAAAATCAAAACCAGCAATAAACGAAAAACGCACCAGCATTCTAGAGATCTGGGTAGAATTTTTCAAACAACGATGTTCTTTAGCTGGTGCCAAAAAGAGTACGGTGAGGGTATCAATAGGCAGGGAGGTTCAAATTGTAGGTGCAGTTGCACTAAAAGATGGATTTCTTACAGATGCGGAATCATGTGGCACTTGTAACAACAGATCGAAACGGTTGAAAGGCGCCCTCGAAAATAAACTGATCCCAAGTTGTTAAGGGCTTTGTACACCAATAGCAACACCTTGAACTTGACCCTGTGGCAAACCAGCAGATCAGGTGTTAGACCTCGCTCCTGTCAGCATTCTGCACTTTCCGTGAAGGAAGGGGGGAAAAGTTTTGTAATGCTGAATATTGTGGTCAGTCCAGAACCTGAGAGGCCAGGGTTTCAAATCCCCGCTCGGTCATGAAGCTCGCTGGGCGACCTGGGGGCCAGTCACTGCCTCTCAGCTGAACCTACCTCACAGGGTCGTTGTGGGGAATTAAATGAGGAGGGGGGGATAAACCACATAAACCGCCTTGAGCTCCTGCGGGTGGGGGAAGGTGGGATATACTGTAAATGCAATAAATAAATACAGTGGTACCTCGGGTTAAGTACTTAATTCGTTCCGGAAGTCCGTACTTAACCTGAAACTGTTCTTAACCTGAAGCACCACTTTAGCTAATGGGGCCTGATGCTGCCGCCGCGCCACCAAAGCACGATTTCTGTTCTCATCCTGAAGCAAAGTTCTTAACCTGAAGCACTATTTCTGGGTTAGCAGAGTCTGTAACCTGAAGCGTATATAACCCGAGGTACCACTGTAAAGATAAATAATGAAAAGGCAGACCATCCCTAGGTCACCATGGGCAAACTCGGCCCTCCAAATGTTTTGGGACTACAACTCCCATCATCCCTGACCACCGGTCCTGTTAGCTAGGGATGATGGGAGTTGTAGTCCCAAAACATCTGGAGGGCCGAGTTTGCCTATGCCTGCCCAGAACCTTCCTGGACTGGATAGCTCAGTTGGTTAGAGCGTACTGCTGATAACGCCAAGGTTGCAAGTTCAATCCCCGTATGGGACGGCTGCATGTTTCTACATTGCCGGGGGTCAGACTAGATGATCCTCAGAGCCCCTTCTGACTCTATGATTCTATGAATGGATAAATATTTAACAGGCTCCCACCCCCACCTCCCGGCTGCTTCCAGCTCACCTCATCTTTCTCCTGCCCTTCCCCTTGCATAAATAGCTATCTTGCATTCCTTGAGAACTATGTAGCAAGCCATTCTCTGCTAATAATATTTAACTTTCCTTGGCGTCTCCTGGTAGTTTTTGTTCAGGTTAGTTGTAGACGGCCCCGCGAGTTTGTAAGTGTACTTGATGACACGTTAATAGGAAGATCTGTCATATTGCAGCTAAACAGCCCAGACGGTTCCGCAGACCGTGGCAAGGATTGGCGTTCTTTGCGGCAGCTCTTTCCTCCTCCCCACCTGCCTAGAACACGCCTAACATTTCCGCACCCCTCAAAAAGGCCCGGAGTCTGCATGCAACTTTTCCTTAAGCATGTCTAGAGTCGAACCTTTTAAGTATTCGGCACCAAAAGGTAAACAAACCCCATGCCAAGCTGACCTGGCAGCTGCAATTGGGATAAATTATGGGGATGTCAGTATTTTATTAAAAAAAATACTTTTTAAATGCTTATTACAATGTGTTGCAAACCTTATCGCTGCAGGGAACTACCCCCGTCCCCATCCCAGATCTGCCTGCCAAAGAACCCCAAGTTTGTTAAAAAATGAAATGAATGAATATCAGCTTGTGAAGGATGCCCTAACTTAGCCCAGGCTCATATAAATGTAGATAGGATCATGGAGCTGTATTTATTGTTAATAATAATAATAATTTATTTATTTATTAAATTTGTATACCATCCTATATCTACAGGTCTCGGGTCAGTTTGCAACATAAAATCACAATTAAAAAAAAATCACAGAATACATAATAAGAACAAGAACAACAACAACTAAGTAATACCCTCTCCCCAACACATTTTAAAAGAGTATTGGATGTCAATCAGCTTAAGAGTTGGAAGGTACCCCAAGGGTCATCTAGTCCAGGCATCCCCAAACTCGGCCCTCCAGATGTTTTGGGACTACAACTCCCATCATCCCTAGCTAACAGGACCAGTGGCCAGGGATGATGGGAATTGTAGTCCCAAAACATCTGGAGGGCCGAGTTTCGGGATGCCTGATCTAGTCCAACCCCCTGCAATGCAGATGCTCCCCCCCACCTCCGAAGATTGAAAAGGAAAAATGGGAGAAAAATGTAGATGGAAATAAACCAAAATTAAATTCAGCAAGCAAATGTGAAGTTCAGCGTTTAGGCAAAGCGACAACCAAATGCACAGAAAGTACAGAAGAGGGGGCGCTGTCTGGCTTGGCAGTGGCCAATACGAAAAGGCTGTTGGGATCCCAGCCATTCACAAGGTGTGCAGCTTAGGGGGCATAGCTGAGTAGTGGAGCACCTGCTTTGCATGCAAAAGGTCCTAGGTTGATTCCTTGGCATCTCCAGGTAGGGCTGAGAGAGATCCGTGTCCGAATCCGTGGAGAGTCACTGCCAGTCAGTGAAGACCTGACTCAAAATGGCAGCTTCCTAGATTGCTCATCTGACCGTGAGTTGGCAGTGTGACACAGCTGCAAAAAGGGCGAATGCGATTTTAGGCTCCACGAATAGAGTCACAAGTTTCCGACTGTGATTAGTCCCACTTTTATTCTGCGCTGATCAAACCTCCTCCTTGGAGGCACCACACTTTAAGGAAGGTTGCAGATGGATTGGAATGGGCTGCTGGAGGGCCACAGAGGCCATTTGGGGGGTAGAGAAAATAAAGAAACGTTACTGAACCTGGATGAGCCTGGAGAGGAGAAGACAAGGGGAGGCACGATCGCCCTCTTCTCTGTTGCCCCTTGTAGAACTCAGCAGGAGGGTGACTTAGCTCTGCCTGCCATTGCCTCTGGCGCCACCTACTGTCGGGCTCCCTGCTTTCTACCCTACCAGTCCCAATAGGCACCGGCCCTCACTGATTAAAATAGGTAGGTAGAATAGATTAAACCGTTCGCTGTCTGGAAAAGCAATCTGACCTGGGGGAACACGACATTGCCATTCCCATTTAAAGTTGTGCCCCGTTATTTCAGAGCACTGGTCCATTCAAGCCGATGTTGTTCTAGCCTAATACTGTGGGCGTGTTTTTTTGTTGTTGTTATTGCGGCATGTGTTTTTGTGTTTATATTATATAGTTCTACTTGTGTTTTTATATAGTAAACCACCCTGTGATCCTTGGATGAGGGGCAGTATAGAACTTTAATAAATAATACTAATAATAATCTCCAGGTAGGGCTGTTGTTGTTGTTGTTTAGTTGTTTAGTCATGTCCGACTCTTTGTGACCCCATGGACCAGAGCACGCCATGCACTCCGGTCTTCCACTGCCTCCCAAAGTTTGGTCAAACTCATGCTGGTAGCTTCGAGAACACTGTCCAACCATCTCGTCCTCTGTCGTCCCCTTCTCCTTGTGCCCTCCATCTTTCCCAACATCAGGGTCTTTTCCAGGGAGTCTTCTCTTCTCATGAGGTAGCCAAAGTATTGAAGCCTCAGCTTCAGGATCTGTCCTTCCAGTGAGCACTCAGGGCTGATTTCCTTCAGAATGGATCGGTTTGATCTTCTTGCAGTCCATGGGACTCTCAAGAGTCTCCTCCAGCACCATAATTCAAAAGCATCAATTCTTCGGATAGGGCTGACCCCTATCTGAATCTCTGCACAGCCTCTGCAGCGGTCAGTGTCAGCAACATCGAGCTGAAAAGGCCAACGGTCTGGCTCAGTAGAAGGCAGCTTTCTATATCTTAAGGGAAGGATTTGTAGCTCAGTAGCAAAGCACCTGCCTTGCATGCAGATGGTCCCAGGTTCAATCCCTGCCATCTCCAGGCAGTGCTATGAATGTCCCCTGCCTGACATCCTGGGGGCTGCAGCCAGCCAGTGTAGACAATACAGGGCTAGTGGGACAGTGGCCTAAGTCAGGAGAAGCCAGCTCTCTACATTCTTAAAAGGCAGGTAGCCAGCTTCATCATCTTCATCATCATCATCATCATCATCATCATAATTTTTATTTATACCCTGCCCTCCCCAGCCAGAGCCGGGCTCAGGGACGCTAACACCAGTAAAATTACAGTAAAATCATAATAGTGTGTGTGTGTGGTGGGGAGGAACCAATTTAAAATCGAGGTTAAAATGCAGTTTAAAATGCAGCCTCATTTTAAAAGTAGCCCATAGATCAAAACCATAAAGGGAGGGAAAACATAAGGGTCAGACTGAGTTCAAACCAAAGTCCAGGCGGAACAGCTCTGTCTTGCAAGTCCTGCGGAAAGATGTCAAGTCCCGCATGGCCCTAGTCTCATGTGACAGAGCGTTCTACCAAGTCGGGGCCAGTACTGAAAAGACCCTGGCCCTTGTTGAGACCAATCTATCCACCTTGTGGCTTAGGACCTCCAAAATGTTGTCATTTGAGGACCTTAAGGTTCTCCGCGGGGCATACCAGGAGAGGCGGTCCCGTAGGTACGTGGGTCCTAGGCCGCGTAGGGCTTTAAAGGTCAAACCAGCACCTTAAACCTGACCCTGTACAACACCGGGAGCCAGCGCAGTTGGTAAAGCACTGGATGAATGTGATCCTGCAGCAAGGACCCCGTAAGGAGCCTCGCCATGGCATTCTGCACCCCCTGGAGTTTCAGCTTCAAGGGCAGCCCTGCGCAGAGCGAGTTACAATAATCAAGCCTGTTGAATAATGGAGGACAAGCCTGTTGATGGCAGAGGCAGTAAGCCAGCCCTGCTGCTTTTGGGTGCCTGGACGCCTTTCCTAAAGTCCTGCCCTTCTGGTGCCACTGCATGAAACCTCATTGATCGCTCCTTCTCCTGTGCTCCCAGTTCAGAGCTGGATCGCCAACATGCCAAGATCTGCCCTTGACCTCAGCGAACCCGCATCCCTCACTTTGTTAAGTCCGGCAAGGTGCTATACCTCGGATAGCTCCATTGGCAAAACACAAGACTCTTAATCTCAGGGTTGTGGGTTCGAGTCTTGCAGAAGATTCCTGCATTGCAGGGGGTTGGACTAGATGACCCTCGTGGTCCCTTCCATCTCTTCCCAAATTCTATGAAAGCTAAGCAGTGCTCCATTTATACAGCGTTCTCTGCTGAGAAGCGGTGATCCCAGTCTGAGATAATGGGGAAGAGAGGTTTTGGAAGGGGCTAGGTGGGAGGGAACGCGCAGAGAGACATTTCTGATTTAAATGCTCTTTGGCACAGAGAAAGATTCCACTTATCCAACAGTCTCCCCTTAATAGGAGTCTGAAAAGACCAGCCCCGGCAGCTCATTAGAACGTGATCCCTCCCTCTCTGGCTGGGTCTCACCTCCCTCCCTCCTTCAAGTTGATGGGAAACTCTCCCACAAAACTAGTATTTATTTGCCAAGCTACAACCAAGGAGGCTTTTGCCGGTCTGCCGCTGGCGGGAAAGGAACGGAGAGCAGACGGAAAGCGGTCGAGAGCAAAAAAAAGAGAGAGGCCCAATTAGAGAGAGAACGAGGATTTGGACCCTGGTGTTTGGAGTTAACGGGATCAAGGTTGGGAAGTTTGTTTTCTTCCCTACGGAGCGGATTGCCAAATCATTCAACTACAAATTTCTGCGCCCAGAAAAAGTGAGATAGCTGACTTCGGGCACTTTGGATGCCTTTGAGAGCTTCCTAGTTCAATCGGTTTCAGCATCTGCAAACAGGATGGTTTCCCACTGGTAAGGATCAGACTTTTTTTTCTTGCTGAGTTCAAGGTGGACAGAGAGCGAAGGCTGAGTGGATGTTTTCCGTGTCAGGAGGCGAACTTTCCCAGCAAGCGGCAAAGATCAAAAATTTGTGAGGGTGCTCACCGCCCCCACCCTCAATCTGCTTTCAGTTCCTTGTGTGCGTGGTTTTATTTTGCTATTTCTTCCCTTCACCAGCTGCCGATTTGAATCTAGAGGTCTGAAGACGTTTGGGTGAGGAAGGAGACTTAAATGTGAAATAGTGGACAGGTGTCCACTGAACTCCACCAGTCAGTCAGATTCTGGGTTTGCGTCTTCCCAAGCTGATGTTATCAAGGAGTAACTTCAAACCGTGAGTCGTTTTGGCTGTGCAAAACCTGATCAACCATCTGTTCCAAAGGGGCATCAAATTTGCTCACCGCGATCATTCTCTGCCCACGAACGGACTCAGCTGGCAAGGCCAGGACTAAACTGCATTGCACATTTGGTTTTTTAAGAGGCGAAAGGAAGCAAACCACGTTTCTCTCCGAAGACTCACAGGCATTTTGATTTTCCTCTCTGAAGGGTGTTCTCTCTCTCTCTCTCTCTCTCTCTCTCTCTCTCTCGTCTTTCCACTTGAAAGATGTCCGGCAAAGCCAAGATAAAATGTTGGACTTGGATAGTTTTGGCAGCCTTGATGTGCCAAGAGTTTTCCCACATCCGAGTCGCGGTGGCCAAGAAAGAGAGAAAGAAGCCAAAGGAGCCTAATCAGTACACAGAGCCTTTCAACGGGACTCTTTCCAACAGCGAAGAACTCAATACGCACTCCAAGGTAGCTATCCAAATATATATGCCTGTTCTCAGCTCCTCTTTTCAGTCAATCCTCAAGCGTCAGGTGGGGTGGGTGTGTGGAATCGCTTTTTAAAAATATCTTTTTCATCCACGTGACAGCACAGTTGGATTCCCATTTTATAGATGGGGAAAACTGAGGATGACATAAAGTTAGGTGGCCAAGGCACAGAACCTAAACACAGGCAGGGTTAAGAAGAGATAATTTCATTTCCACGCCACTCAAGTTTGACAATAGCTCTGTTTGCTGAAGGTTGTTCTTTAAATGCATGAAAAATTCTCACTTTTTTTTTTTTTGGGGTGTGCACTTTCTGAAAAATTATGCATTTTGTATGCCTTCGCTACTTAAGGATAACACCGCTTTGTAGGTGTTTTCCCACCACAAAATGCCATTTTTTAAAAAAAAAAATCGGAATTGGAAGAAGCACGCAACCCATTTTGTTAACTCTGTTCTGATCAGTTTGTGAATTAGGTCAGAGGTCAGTTTCTTTAAAATGCAAAACAAATAAAATTCCCCTCCATCCCAATTCAGGGGACTGCTCTGTGGGCTCAGTGAGGATGTGTTTAGTAGACCCTGGGAGCATCTGCATCGTAGGTTGTCTGAACTGATGGAAGGAATTGCCGCAGGAGGCAGTGATGGTTGCTCATTGAATTGCATGGCTTTAAAATAAGGCTGCCGGCTGTTGCTGTGACTCCAATGCCCTTCATCCCCAACCAACATGGCCAGTGGTCAGGGATGATGGGAACTGTAGTCTCAACAACAACCAGAGGGCAACAGGTTCCCCTGTCAGTGTTGAGGTCAGAGATATGAGTGCCTAATAGCTGTGTCCAGCTAAGTTCTACTCAGAACAGGTCCATTGAAATGAATGGACCTGGGTTAGTTATGTCCATTAACTTCTATTTTGAGTATATCTAGCTTTGGAGCCAACTCTATAGGAGCAAAGAGCGCAGCCTCATTTTCCGAGGTGATTTTTGGATGTCAAGAGATGGTGTCCCCATCATACCCGGCTCATGGGCTTCCCAGAGATAATCCAATTTATAGGGATAGGTGAGCTTGTCGATTCTGATTTTGCCCATTTTTGTTTTTTCCCAGGTTCTCATTTTTCCAATCTTTAGTTCAGTTCTTCACATTTTTCACATCCGTTCGGGAGTATAACTTTTTAAGAAAATGGTCTGCATCTTAGCGTACGTTTCTACCTTGTGTGCACTTTTTTTTTTGCATGTAATTTCCCCTAACGTACACATTTTTACAAGCAGTTTTCTGCATTAAAATACATTTTTTAACAAACCCTACTTTCTACTAACTTTTGCGTTTTTCATGCACATTCCCTCCCCCCAACACCCGCATTTTCAAACACACTCCTTGGCTGAAGAACCGCATTGCAGAATTTGGAAAAGACCGACTTCCAAAGGATGGCTGCGTTCTTTGTTTGTGGGTTGTTTCAGAAAATGCAAACTGAAAGCACCTTCATATAGCTCAGTTGGTTAGAGCATGGTGCTGGCAGTGCCAAGGTTGCAGGTTCAATCCCCCGTTAGGACTGAAAATTCCTGCTTTGCAGATCCTGGCCTGATCCAGATGATACTCAGGGTCCCTTCTAACTCTATAAGAAAATGCAAACCGAACTAAAATTATCCCCTTAATCCGAATGGATCTCTGCAATCAGGCAACTTGGCCTGATCCTACAATCCTGTGTTCCTATCCATCTTCTAATTCTGTAGGAGCAGAAAGCACTGTGAGCTGCATCTGCTGTTAGCCTTCCTTAGGTCTAACTCCGAGTACAGTTTAAGCTTGTGTGATTCTCATCCAACGCACCTTGTTTTCAAGATGCATGCTCCTCGTCCAGGGATCCGAGTGGCTAGGCTGCCTTTGTGGCCTTTTCTCTCTCTTTTTTTAAGTGTAGAGATGAAGCAAAGTGTAGTTAAGGATTGGCGGGGAGAGAGGATCCGATGGAGGTTTAGAAAAGTGTGCAAAGACCAGAGAAATGAGAAACCCTCTCCCTTCTCCCCTCGGAGAGGCAGGTTGGCGGCAGCTTCAGGACAGGCAAAAAGCCTTTCGTGTGATTGCCGCAACACATAGTTGACCTGCGGAACTCACTGCCACAGGAGGCAGTGATTGCCGCCAACTTGAATGGCTTTGAAAGAGGATTAGGGAAACTCCTGGGTGATAAGGCTATCAATGGCTACTAGCCATGAAGGCTACGGTCTACCTCCTCTGTCAGAAGCAGTATACCTCTGAAGTGTAGTTGGTGGGAATCACAAGAGGGGAGAGTTGCTCTTGCACTCCGGCCCTGCTTGCATGCGTCCCATTGGGGCATCTGGTTGGCCGCTGTGAGAACAGGATGCTGGGCTAGGTGGGCCACGGGCCTGATCCAGCACCGCTCTTCTTCATTAAGCTTGTGTGGTCATGCTCAGTCGCTTGGGCAAGAGAAGCCTCTTGTTTCTACCATGCCTTGGTCCAGTATACCTGAAGGAGCGTCTCCACCCCCATCATTATGCCTGGATGCTGAGGTCCAGTGCCGAGGGCCTTCTGGCGGTTCCCTCACTGCGAGAAGCAAAGCTACAGGGAACCAGGGAGAGGGCCTTCTTGGTAGTGGCACCCGCCCTGTGGAATGCCCTCCCATCAGATGTCAAAGAGATAAACAACTACCTGACATTTAAAAGACCTCTAAAGGTTCAGGGAAGTTTTTAATGTGTGACATTTTAATGTATTTTTAATCTTTGTTGGAAGCTGCCCAGATGGGCGGGGTACAAATTATTATTATTAGTAGTAGTAGTAGTAGTTTCCCAAAAGCATCTGTTGCATCTGTTGATGGCTCTCTTGCAGTCTGTCATGTTTTCCTCCTTGTACTGCTACACAAGGTTTGCCTCTGCACCATATCAGCCTCACAACAACCCTGTGAGGTAGGCTAGGCTGAGAGGGAGAGAGGCATGGCTCAGGTCACCCAGTGAGCCTCATGGTTGGATTTGAACCTGGTCTGCATCTGACACTCTGACCCTGTCCTGTGTCCTGTTTACTGCTCTATTTGAGCAAAGGCAGTTTTTATATTGAGGATGTAGGAAGATGCTTTATAACGCCTTGGAATATTCGCCCTGTTTCGCTCAGTATCCCCTGCTTGGATCAGTGATGGTTGGTGCCCTTTGGGGCTGATGGGGCAGAAGCCAGGGAGCCCAACAGTAGGTGGCGCCAGAGCCAATGGCAGCCAGAGTCAGGTCATTCTAGATTCATCCCCATTCTCCTCCTTCCTGCTGAGTTCTACTAAGGAGGAGGAAGCTGGCAGCCAGAGCCTCCGCGTGCTCAGGATGGCCGTGAAAAGACAGGCAGGTGGCAGCAGGCCGAGGGCAGACTGAAGTTGGTGGGGCAGTGCCCCATCTGCACCAAGGAACCAGCTTCCACTACAACTCCCATCCTCCCGGCTGTCAGTTTAGCAACATCTGGAGGACCAAAGTTTCCCCACATCTGGTCTATGTCGCCTGCCACCATCAGCTCCGACAGACTCTCGGCTGGGAGATACAGCGCTATATCACTGAAAACTGGTTTGAAGTCCATATCGTGATATTGGTTTCATAATTTCTGACCTGGCAATATATCGCAAATCGTGATGTGTGTGTATTATGCAGAAATCACAACGCAGGGAAAACTGTGAGGCCAGCCACTGCCTCTGCGTAGCGCCATCCTTGTTTCAGACATCATGATATATATTGATGTATCGCGACATTTATCTGGCGATATATCGCAATTTTGAAAACCTGATATCACCCAGCCCTACTCCAGGGTATTGACCAGGGAAGGGTCTGTCTCGCTTCACTTGTTACTGGAGAGGCCAAGGATTGAACCTGGGACTGTCTGCTTAACTCAGTGGCTCGAGCACCTGCAGGTTCAACCCCCACTGGCATCTTCAGGTAGGTCTGGGAGAGATTCCCTGCCTGAAACCCTGGGGATTTGCTTCCGGTCAGTGTAGGCACCACTGAGCTGGATGGACCAATGTCCTCATTCAATATAAAGCAGCTCCCTCTGTTCCTATATCTTAAGAGAAGAACTGCACTGGCATCTCCAGGTAGGGCTGCCTGAAACCCTGGGGAGCTGCTGCCAGTCCGTGTAGACAACTGAGATGACAATGGAGTAGACAATTGAGCGAGATGGACTAATGCCCTGACTCTGTATAAGGCGCCAAAAACCGGTTCTCTAACCGCTGGTGGCGCTGTGGGTTAAACCACAGAGCCTAGGACTTGTCGATCAGAAGGTAGGCGGTTCGAATCCCCGCGATGGGGTGAGCTCCTGTTGCTCGGTCCCTCCTCCTGCCAACCTAGCAGTTCGAAAGCACGTCAAAGTGCAAGTAGATTAATAGGTACCGCTCCGACGGGAAGGTAAACGGCGTTTCCGTGCGCTGCTCTGGTTCGCCAGAAGCGGCTTAGTCATGCTGGCCACATGACCCGGAAGCTGTACGCCGGCTCTGTCGGCCAATAAAGCGAGATGAGCACCGCAACCCCAGAGTCGGTCACGACTGGACCTAATGGTCAGGGGTCCCTTTACCATTTTAACCGCTAGGCAACATTGCTGCAGGAGGAGCCTCTGCACCTTCTGTTGCCACTATTGCAATGGAAGCTGCAGCCTGACTTCACAGCACTCTGGAGCCGGCCACGCAGAGGCGTCTGCCACTCAACAATAAGGGCTGCGGCCCCGGGAACCATCTGGGGCTTGCCTTGCCTGCAGGCGGCGGGCGGCGCAATGGGTAATCTGTGGCGCCGAGGGGCGTGACCGCCAAGCTGCAACACTTAATACCCCTTATAGATGCTTTGTTCCTCTTCAGGCTTAAGAAATATACACACACGCACACACTGGGAAGTGTCATTCCCGTAATCTGTGGATGTCTGTGCAGGGGCTTAGCAGCCGGCAATTTAGCCCATTGTGGTTAATTAGCTAATAGGATCTAATTACCCTCTTGCGGGTGGGGAAAAGGAGAGAGATTTACCCTCCAGACAAGAGCTCAGAGACAATTGCTTCTCCTATATCTGGGCAATTAGGAGTGTGCGCCAATTAGTTGGGAAAGACTGTTGCTTGATGGCACGGCGAACGTGGCCCTTTATTTAGTCTGAATCCGCTGGTTCGTTTTTCTGGTTTTTGTCTGAGCTGTTGAGTTTCCTGGAAGGGAGCTTGTTTGTCAAGGAAGAGGCTCTGTGGTCGTGGGTGGGGGAGATGCGCTGGCTGGCTGCTCCGCAGGCCCAGGCACAATCTCTTTTTGGAAAGGTGGCCTGCCTTGTATCGAGCTCTGGGTTTTGGCTGAGATCTAGGGGTGGGGACCCTAGAACTCTCAAGATCTTCTTGGTCTCCATCAGCCCAAGCCAGCATGGCCAATTGAGCAGTAGTTGAACCGTATTTTTGTACTCCAGCTCTCCTCAGCCTCAGTCAACCTGGCCACCGGCCCAAAGGATGATGGGAGTTGGAGTCCCACCACATCTGCAGAGCATCAGGTTCCCTGGTGCCTGATGTAGGCAGGGAAGCGTTCCATTGCCTTGTCTCTGTGGGATCTGACCTGTGGTGGACCTTTTAACTCGCACATGGTCTAATGCTGCTGTTGAGTGATTACTGATCAGAAAGTGGTGGCCTCACCTTCATTTGAGGATTTTAAGCAGAGGCTGGATGGCCACTTATCGGCGATTCTTCAACTGCGATTCCTGCATTGCCGGGGGTTGCACTAGATGACCCTCCTGGTCCCTTCCAACTCTACAATTCCATGATTTTATGATTCTACATGAGTGGGAGTTTGTGTGTGTGGGATCCCAGAATGTATTGGCCTGAGGAAGTGCCCAAATGATCCATTATATTCAGTGGTCCAGGAGATCTTTCCAACATTGTAGGGCCTTAGCTGAATAGCTGAGCACATGCTTTGTGTGCAGAAGGTCCCAGTTTGACCCCACGACATCTCCAAGTAGGGATGGGAGCACCTGCCGTCTAATACCCAGGGGTGCTGCTGCCAGTTTACACAATACTGAACTAGGTGGACTGAAGACTCTTGAGTTCAATAGACACCACTCCTCAAGATGGAACAATGGGCTGACTCTGCCTAAAGCAGACCCCTATGGTCCCATGTCCCAAGGGAAGGGCCAATATCTCCATGGTAGAGTTCCTGTTCCTGGGGAACTGCTGCTGGTCAGATGGTGAACCTGTGGCCCTCCAGATATTGCTGGACTCAGCCACTGGCCAACCGTCTGGAATGATGGGAAGTTGTAGTTTTTTTTTTAAAAGCGTTTATTAATTTTCCAATAAAAATATCTAATTAACATATCAAATCAAATCCAATAATAATAAAAAAACTAAAATAAAAAAGTCCAATTGTCTTCCAAATTGTAATAATTTCTGTTTTGGCTTCCCACGGTCTGAATTCTGAAGCGCTTTCAACATCATAGTCCTGCCTTTCATCATCATCAATGTTTTTCATAATTCCATATCTGATCTTTTCCTCCACGTTTTGACTCTGGTTCTGTGACCCTCATTCATGTCAGAAGACAGATACTTTTTTTTCTATGGAGTGCAGATTTGTCCGTATATTGTACTTTTTCAGCTGTTTTTATTTTTTCATCGCACCGCTTCATTTAATTGCATCCAAATCCAGACTTCTGTCCAGCTCTTTGAGAATTGTTATTTTGGCAGCTCCCAAATCGTTAATCTTTCCCGTCGAGGGGGAAGTTGTAGTTTAACCATGTTGTAAGACTCTAGCTCCCTTCAGCCTCGGCCAGCGATGATGGGAGTTGTAGTCCAACAACATCTGAAAGGTCAATCATTTCCTACACCTGGATTAGTTGACCAGCCGTGATGGTGGCCATATAGCCTACTTTACAGAGGAGACTCCTCTATTTGAAGGGGTGCCTGGCAGAAGTCTAGTTCAAAGATAAAGGATACTAATAAGAGAGAGCCACCTAGATCCTGGATGGCCAAACTGAGCAGTCACACCCTTCACCTGCTCACAGCGTCCCCCACAACGGTTGCATTTTCTGTTGAAAACTATAGCAGCGATTTCTAAATTTGCACCTATGTATATAACAGAGTCTGTGCTGCGGACACAAATCTGCGTTCCTTTTCGTTGCTGCGTTCCCTCTTTCTCTGGCGATGCAGCAGAGGTTGTCCAACTTGCACACCCAACTTTGCGATTCTCTGCACTCGGTCTCTCTCAGCCTCATTTTTCCTGGGCTGTAGAATGGGATTAAAAATGGATGGATTTCAGAAGGTTCTTGTGTGGATCAGAGAGAGTTGGAAGAGAGAGTGGGCTGTCAGCTCATCCCCTTGTGGTAGTTGATGTGCTAGATGGAATTATATATATTTTTGAAAAGTCTGTTCGACAAATGTGTGGAAGGGTATGTTTGTATGCTAAGCTTCAGAAGAGCCCTGTTAGATGAGATCTGTTAGATCTCAACTGCCAATGGGCCCGGAGGCTTGAATCCTATCTACAAACAGCAAAATCATTCCCCAAGTGTCAGCATTTTTATAGAGCCCAAGCCCTGCAGAATTCGCACACAGGACAGAGGCAGCAACATATTAGTGGTTCATGGAAGTTTATGTAAATTAAGTGGGGGAACAGACCCCAAAACAACCCAGTGAGGACTGAGCATGCCTAGAGGCCATGACTAATGCCTAGTTGTTTGGAACCCTTTACAGGAGCATTCCACGCTGCAAGACTTTATTGCAGACTCCACTTTTAATTATCATGGCCAATAGTCTGCAACAGATCTATCCTTCATCTGTCTTTGAGCCATTGCTATTATCCCATGGCAAGGAATCACATTGTCAGTGCATTATAATTTGCACATTATAAACAGGATGCAACCTAAGATGTATCAGTCTAAACATCAAAGAGAGAGGTCTGTGTAGAGATCAAGGTAGAGGGAGCGGGGAGCAGTGTCCCATTATTATTACTACTTTTCCCCAGACTGAGACTCAAGGCGGCTTACAAAAATTAAGGCAACACTGATAAAATACAGAAAACTAAAATCCAATAGCTAAGAAGTAATTAAATGTTAGAATTAAAACAGTATAAAAACCAATCTATTAAAATGCAGATGGCAAAAAAGGCGCAGCACTCTTAAAAGCCTTTAAAGCAGACAGCTCCCCAAGGCCTGCTGGAATACAACAGTCTTCACCTTCGCTGGTGGAAGGACAACAAGGAGGGAGCCAGTCTAGCTTCTCTAGGGAGGGACTTCCAAAGTCTGGGAGCCACCACTAAGAAGGCCCTCTCCTTCATCCCCATCATACCTGCGAGGGTGGCAGGACCAAGAGAAGGCTCTCTCCCAAGGATCTCCGAGCTTGGGCAGGTTTGCAGGGGAGAATAAAGGTAAAGGTAAAGGGACCCCTGACCATTAGGTCCAGTCGTGGATGACTCTGGGGTTGCGGCGCTCATCTCACTTTACTGGCTGAGGGAGCCGGCGTACAGCTGGTCATGTGGCCAGCATGACTAAGCCACTTCTGGCGAACCAGAGCAGCGCACGGAAACGCCGTTTACCTTCCCGCCAGAGTGGTGCCTATTTATCTACTTGCACTTTGACGTGCTTTCGAACTGCTAGGTTGGCAGGAGCAGGGACCGAGCAACGGGAGCTCACCCCGTCATGGGGATTCGAACCGCCAACCTTCTGATCGGCAAGTCCTAGGCTCGGTGGTTTAACCCACAGCGCCACCTGCGTCCCATAGCCAGTTGTAACCAGGGAGTCGTGGGCTTCCTATGACCAACCCCAGTCAAGCGTCTGGCTGCTGCTCTTTGGACCTTCTGAAGTTTCCGAGCACGTCTCCAAGGCAGCCCCTCTGTGTGCGGCAATCTGTTCAGTCTACTGGACCAGCCTCTGCTGCGGCCGTGGGTCCACCCCCCTGCTTTGGCTTCTTGTTCGCCGCGGTGGCTCAACCACCCCATCTCGGCTGCAGGCATCTCCCTTCAGCTGCCGGAGCCTGCCTTTGCCAAGACGAACAGAGCGCGGCTTACACGCTCATTCTCGGGATTGCTCATGCATGCCATAGTAATTAAATAATAATACCACAAGGACAGAACATTCATTTTAGCTGTCAGTCACGCCGGCTGGCGGTGGGGAAAGCAGGGAGCGCCCGGCCTGCCTCTCTCTGAGAGGGATTTGTAACTCAAGGAAGCCAGCGGCGGTGGCCAGGGCTGCGTGGCTTCTCTTTGCGGCTGGTGCGAGGCGGCTGCAGAAGAGAGCCGTCGGGACTGCTCTCTGGCACGAGGCTCTGGTTGCAGCCTTTCCCACGCTTGTGCGATCGCAGAGCGCAGCCCGAAAGCTCGTCAGGAAAAGATATATTATTATTACAGTGGTACCTCAGGTTACATACGCTTCAGGTTACATACGCTTCAGGTTACAGACTCCGCTAACCCAGAAATAGTACCTCGGGTTAAGAACTTTGCTTCAGGATGAGAACAGAAATTGTGTTCCAGCGGCACGGCGGCAGCAAGAGGCCACATTAGCTAAAGTGGTGCTTCAGGTTAAGAACAGTTTCAGGTTAAGAACGGACCTCCGGAACGAATTAATTTCTTAACCCGAGGTACCACTGTACTATTATTTTGGTGGTGCTCTTTGTACAAACTCGCAGATAAAAAGGTAAAGGGACCCCTGACCATTAGGTTCAGTTGTGGCCGACTCTGGGGTTGCGGCACTCATCTCGCTTTACTGGCCGAGGAAGCCGGCGTTTGTCCGCAGACAGCTTCCGGGTCATGTGGCCAGCATGACTAAGCCGCTTCTGGTGAACCAGAGCAGCACATGGAAACGCCGTTTACCTTCCTGCCGGAGCGGTACCTATTTAACCGCTGACCTTCTGATCAGCAAGCCCTAGTCTCAGTGGCATAAGAAGCTGTCTTGTGCATTGCAGGGGCCAGAGCAAGTCAATATGAGGGGAGGTTGGGACATTTGGCATCGCAGAGGGTTGGACCAGATGACCAGATGATTGAGGCGTGTACAGTGGTACCTCAGGTTACATACGCTTCAGGTTACAGACGGTTCAGGTTACAGACTCCGCTAACCCAGAAATATTACCCCGGGTTAAGAACTTTGCTTCAGGATGAGAACAGAAATCGCGCGGCGGCAGCAGGAGGCCCTATTAGCTAAAGTGGTGCTTCAGATTAAGAACAGTTTCAGGTTAAGAATGGACCTCCAGAATGAATTAAGTACGTAACCAGAGGTACCACTGTAATATAATGCATGCACAGTGTGGAGAAAGTGAACAGGGAAATCTTTTTTCCTCCCTCTCTCTCATAATGCCAGAACTCGTGGACAATCCAGTGAAGCTGAATATTGAACGATTCAGGATAGATAAAACGTGATCCAGCCGCAGGGCTCCTCTTTATGTCCTGATGAGAGAGATGGACTTCGCAGCCATACTGCAATCTGCTGTCGAACATCTCCTGATTCAAAGATAGTCTATCATGGAAGGTGGGCAGGAGTATATTGTTGTTTGATGAACACAAGCCCAAAGTCCTCCAGTAGAAAAGCAGAGCCTGAAACATGTCTTTGAGCAGTGCCATTTTTCTAGAAAAAAGAGGTGCCATTGTTCTCTTATCATGGCAATGGCGCCCAGGTGAGAGGTGCTGGAATTGAGTTCCCGTGAGTTCCAGCCAGGAGTGCCAACTTGAATAAAATATTGGGGTGGAGGTAAGCCCCCACAATGCATAATCAATCACATGACGCAGTGCACGCACACCGTTTTAATGGCAGTGCCCATCAACTTTGGGGGGATGGCCCCTCGGCCCCTACGAGTTGGCTCCTATGGTTCAGGCTGAAAAAAAGTCCTGCCTTTGAGTGACGGTGGGGAGCCTCAGGTCTGGGGGTCAGATGTAGCCCTCTGGGGTTCTTATCTGGCTCCTGGATCTGTCCCCGGACTACACCCCTCACCAGCCCTGCTTTGCATCTTCCTTGAGTGTTTTTGCCTGGCTGGAACATGTCCTTGAGCTCCGATCATGCCTTTTTGCTTGCCTGGATGGAGGAGAGACAGGGCTGTGCCACTGTGTGTGGAAACTATCCTATTGAATGAAGGTAAACTTTGCATTCTGGGCCCTGCCCACATTTGTCTCTTGGCCCCACCCACCCTTGGCATGCGTCCCTGGGTAGGTCACCCAGAAGGGAATGTGGCATTCAGGCTAAAAAACCCCTGGTTTTGAGGCTAGGCCTTTGGTGGGAGAGCAAATGGCGAACTTGAAATTTGAGAGTTCATGCGAGGCTCAGAGAAACCCAAGGATTTGCGGAAGAAGGGTGGTGGGGGAGCTCTGAGGAGGGAGATTCCCCCCCCCTTTTAAAAAAGCAGTCCAGTATTGGATCAAGCCTGTTCAAGTGGGCACAGCATGCTGACTATCAGGGGGGTTAAAACGAAAAACTAGGGCAGGAACGGAACGGGGTGTCCAGGGAAACGATGCAGAGCTGGCCGTCGGGAAGCCTGAACATGGCAACATTTTCCCTGGAGCCTCTACCCGTACCCTCTTGAATTTTTGTGGGTGCATTCGAGGCAGGAAAAGTTGCTCAAGAAGCATTCCTCCTGCGCGCCCCCCCTCCAAGAAGTTTGTTTCATCGGCAGCAATTTGGGATCCCGTAAAACACTTGATTCCTGATCCTGTTCTTGGGATGTCTGCTTGACCCGAGGGCGTGCTTGACAGATCTAACATTGACACTAATTACTCAATTACCATGGAATGCGTCAAGGCTGTGCTGGAAATGACTCAGGCAGCCCCTTCCTTTGGCTCGCAAGGCAGACAGCTGCTATTCCGCAAGCCCCCACCTGGGGCAAGAGAGGAGGGTGCTGAGTGAGCCAGGGCTCTCCAATGGGTAGCTCTTGGGCCTGATCTGGCCCCAGGGGTTGCTAGGACACATGTTACGTAGCTGTAAAAAAAGGGCGCGCGGCGGGGGGGACCTGACACTTTCAACCAGTGGCGGCTGGTGCCTGCTGGGATTGGTAGGGTTCCCTCCTCCTCCTCCGTGCTGAGTTCTACAAGGGCAACACTGAGGCTAAGGAGGAGGAAGCTGGCAGCCAGAGCTACCTTCCTGCCTGCTCTTCTCTTGGCCATTAGGAGACCATGCAAACTGCAGCATGACGACAACCTTACCTTTTTATGTATATAGGAAGATAATAATAATAATAGGTGGTATCCAACTGAGTCTTATACAGAGTAAGCCAGTCTAAACTAATGTACATAAGTTACTCATGCCCATTCCATTTATTTCAATCGATCTACTCTGAGTAGGGGGATGTGGGTGGCGCTGTGGGTTAAACCACTGAGCCTAGGACTTGCAGATCAGAAGGTCAGCGGTTTGAATCCCTGCGACTGAGTGAGCTCCCGTTGCTTGGTCCCTGCTCCTGCCAACCTAGCAGTTCGAAAGCACGTCAAAGTGCAAGTAGATAAATAGGTACCGCTCCGGCGGGAAGGTAAACGGCGTTTCTGTGTGCTGCTCTGGTTCGCCAGAAGCGGCTTAGTCATGCTGGCCACATGGCCCGGAAGCTGTATGCCGGCTCCCTCGGCCAATAAAGCGAGATGAGCGCCGCAACCCCAGAGTCGGTCACAACTGGACCTAATAGTCAGGGGTTCCTTTACCTTTACCTTTACTCTGAGTAGGACTAACACTGGATCTAACATAATAATAAATAAAGAAGACAAGGGACAGGCAGCTGATAGAAAACACTTAGAAAGGGATTTTCTGATTCAGCTTCTAAATAGTAAGCTGATACTGAACTGAGCCCTTTGCTGAGTGGAGGGGACCCTCAGAGGAACTCTCTAAGTTTTCCCAGCCATCCAGTAATTCTGGTTTGGGTGTCTCTGATTTCCTGATTTCTTTTTTTCCTTTCTTTTTGCCAACACCCTAATCTGAGAGGGATCCACCCCCCCATCCAAGCCCCCTCCCTTAGATAAATCCCGACGTGTGCCAATATGCATTCTTGTTTTCAAATTTTGATACATTCTTTCCAGCATCCTCTCCCCACCCCCCTTGCTTTCATTAACAAGCCCCAGATTCCAAGAGGTGATTCATTAAAGCTCCTGAGCTGACAGTTCATTCATTGGAGGGGCTCGTGACTCCCGGGCTTGTCTTCTTCTTCTCCCTGTTGATGATGGAACTTTGGCAAGGGAAGGGGAGGCAGTCACTCCCAGATTCCATTTTTGACAGGCGATCGGTGGCAGTGGGCAGATGCTCTGCCACCAAGCTACGGACTTTTTCTTACCAGGAACAGAGGAAGCTGACTTATGCCATCCATGACAGCTTTGCTCTTCTTCCACAATTGGCGGCAGGAATTCTTCTGAAAACCAGTTGCTGGAAGCCTGGGTTTCCCAGCGGCATCTGGTTGGCCACTGTGAGAACAGGATGCTGGAGTAGATGGGTATTGGGCCTAATCCAGCAGGGCTCCTCTTATGTTCCTACGTAAGTCACATCATTGATCCTCCCAGTTAACGTCATCTACACCAGCTGGTCTGACCTAATGGTCAGAGATCCTTTTACCTTTACCTAGCAGGGAATGCCCAGGAATTTGTAGAGAAACCAAGACATACTGTGATTTATTTAAATGGGTAGTGTCATTTGTGAGTTTTTGGTTGCGCCGGAAACTGGGCAAAGTCGCACCAAAGTCATATTTCAGTCCACCATCTCGATTCAGAACGGCACTTGGCACCCAAATATTGATGAAGAACACTCCCCCCATCTCAGGAATCCTTGTGCCAAGCTTGGTGATGCTATCTTGAGAGGTGGCTGAACCAATAGAGGACAAACGGACAACCATTTTCCAAAACGCACAGTAGATAATCCCTGATAATGTGCACTATTAACCCTAAAATGGCAATTCACAGTGCAGTATGCCTTAGCATCACTACCAAATGAAAACAAATGATTTTTAAGCTTCATATTTGCCTGAAAGCAGAGAAGAAGCTATTGAAAATGAGTGATTTTTGCATGTTGGGGGAAGTCCAGTAAGCTGCAGATGTAGAGTAGAAAGTGAACAGGGCACCCATGCTCCACAGAGATCTCCCTTACTAGAAGCATCGATATAGGAAGGTGGGGCATGTGATTGGCAAAAAATATGTACAGTCGTACCGCCGCTTATTTATCCCTCTGGATACGTAAACTTCGGGATGTGAACACGGCAAACCCGGAAATATTTTTCCAGGTTTCACCGCACGTGCATGCGCAGAAGCGCTCTATGCACCACTCACATGCTCAGAAGCGGTCCTCCCATTGTGAATTCCTCGGGATGCGGCTGGACCTCCAGAAGGGATCCCGTTCGCAACCGGAGGTACCACTGTATCTTATTAAATAAATGGCTCATGCTTTTCCTGCCATGTTGCAGCACTCGTGGAGATTGATAGAGCAAGTGCCTCATCAGAAGAACGTATCCTAGCCCAGACACCACACACAGGGCTCCTTTGGTCTAGTCAGCCTTAACTGGAATCCAACATGGTGTAGACCTGGAGCCCAGGTGTAGGTCCTGATCCATTGGTTGAAGATCTATGATCTATACTGATTCCATGGACTCATTGCTGGAGTCTTTCCCAGCCATACTTGTGGATAACAAGGGTGGCACCTGGGCCCCCTTTGCATGGAAAAGACCTGCCCCCCTACAAGCCAGGATACTTCTCAGAGAACAAAAATTGGGAGCATCAATTGGGAGGGAGCATCCTTGGCACCCAGAAGGTTCCATGTTCCATCCCTGGCATCTCCAGTTAAAAGGGATCAAATAACAAGGAAAAGAGCCTGGAGTGGCGATGGGGGTCAAATCTGCCTAATTCACGCTTTCTGAAACAATACACAACATGAAACACAGCTGTCCTGTGAAATCTGCACTTCTCCAAACATAGCAATGCACAAAAAGCATGTAAAAAAAAGGGCACCTGCTGGGGTAAAATTACTTTGATGAGGAAAAATATACAACATACATTGTATTAGGGCGGGCATGGCCAAACTTGGCCCTCCAGATGTTTTGGGACTACAATTCCCATCATCCCTGACCACTGGTCCTGTTAGCTAGGGATGATGGAAGTTGTAGTCCCAAAACATCTGGAGGGCCAAGTTTGGCCATTCCTGTCTTAGGGGAGCTCACTTTGTAATCAAAGGTTAGGCAAAACTGCATAGACAAATGTGTATATTGGGAGAAATTTGGACTAAAACGCTGGTGAGTTTTTATGAGGATTAAAGAAATAAAATCTAACTTGGTGCAGAAGTGCGGAGGAGTGAATTGGGGGTGGTGGTGGAAGAAAACTGAAAGTGACAGAGTCATAGAACTGTAGAGCTGGAAGGGACGTACAGTACAGTGGTACCTCGGGTTACATATGCTTCAGGTTACATACACTTCAGGTTACAGACTCCGCTAACCCAGAAATAGTGCTTCAGGTTAAGAACTTTGCTTCAGGATGAGAACAGAAATTGTGCTCAGTAGCGCGCCAGCAGCAGGAGGCCCCATTAGCTAAAGTGGTGCTTCAGGTTAAGAACAGTTTCAGGCTAAGTACGGACCTCCGGAACGAATTAAGTACTTAAACCCAAGGTACCACTATATAGCCAAAAACTCCAACGAAGGAGAGTCCCCCACTTTCTGAGGGATCCATTCCACTGTCCAATACCTCCTGCCATCAGAAAGCTCTTCCTAATGCTTAGTTGGAATCTCCTTTCTTGTAATTTGATTCCATTGGTTTGGGTCCTACCATCTGGAGCTATTGGGGGGGGAAGCTTGCTCCATCCTCCATGGGACAGCCCTTTAGATATTTGAAGGTGGCTCCTCTTTCCTAGGCAAAGCATACCCAGCTCCTTCAACTGTTCCTCATAAGGCTTGGTTTCCAGACCTTTTGTCATCTTGGCCACCCTCCTGTGAACACATCCCAGCTTCTCAAGACCCTTCTTAAACTGTGGTGTCCAGAACTGGACACAGTACTCCAGGTCTGACCAAGGCAGAATAGAGCAGCAAGACTATTACTTCCCTTAATCTGGATGTTATGCTTCTGCTGATGCAGCCTAGAATAGGCTTTCACATTTCATTCACCCCTAGCTTGGAGAACTGCAACCTGCCAGAGCCGGCAGTACTAGTCTAGATGGAAATCTACCCTGACTTGGTATATAAGGCACCTGTAATGGATGCTGTAAGTTGCAACCTGCACTGCAAATCTTGCCCATTGCTTCCTTGCAGGGCTTAGATACCTGGCCTCAGTGCCCTCTAGCTGTGAAATGGGATTTTTTTAATGCTTTAAAACACAAGTAAAGCATTTGAAAGCAGGAGCAGGAGGAAATGCTTCTCCGTGCAAACCTTCTAAGGGCAAAAAGAAAATCTGCTTCTAATTCTAGTTAAAGTGGAAAAGAAGTCTGGACAATAGCGCCTTGGTGTTAATAGCAGGGGTGGACAGAAAGTAGATCTACTGGATCTCAGTGGTATGATTTCTGACTCCCCATTATTTAGCAATATAATCTACAACGAAGGGCTTCAGTTCTATGCACAAGTACTTGCCTAATCTAGGAGCAAGTTGTATGAGCCTCAGTGTTCCCCAGCTGTAAAATGGGCCTTAATGTTGAAGTGTGCAGGCATAGCTTGCTGTTTCTTAAAATTGTGAGGTCTTTAAAATAATATATCTCCCATGGCTAAGGCTTCTGCTTTTGTTTTTTCTCAGCCTTAGCATTTATCTCCACCCCCAATTTTAAAAATATGTTTTCCTCCTCAAGCATAGATGTAGCTCTTAATTTAGGTTTATGGAAAATGCAAGACAACCATTCTGAGATCTGAATTTCTGAACAGCAAAATTTGATTTTCAACTTTGGAAATCCTCATAGGGAAACTGAAATATTTTCAGTCCAAAAATCAATCCTCAATGCCAAATTTAGGGGTGGGGGTTCCAGGTATCAATAAAAATGGCTTTCTTTTCTGTTCCACTGAAGGAACCATTACTGACAGCTGAGCAACACTGTTGGATTATGTATCTATACATCTATATATGGGGTAATGTCAATTGAACAGTTAATGTGCAGAACAACAGGCTGTTGTGAAAATTCACAAGACTTTGTGGAGAATGTGCACATAATCTGTCCATGAATTCTGCAGATTTTCCAAATGATATATGTATATAACCTCCAACAGGCCTTGGGGAATGTGCATCTCTTGGCTGTATACTCTTGTCATTATGCATAGTCTCCAACAGGTCTTGGGGAATGAGCGTATCTCGACTACATTTTTGTATATTCTCCAGCCAATATGCATAATCTCCAACAGGTTTGGGGGAATGTGCACATTTCCCGAGACCCTGTGGGAAATTATATGTATACTGCCGAGGAAATGTGTACAGTTTGCCTGGCAGGGACAGATTACTGGTATGTGCATGTTTTCCGTGAGGCCTGGTGAATGTGCACAATGGCCGGTTATTATGCACATGAACCACTCAGCTCACATTATCTCCAACATATTCCCACGTAAACACACACATATATAATTGGCTGTGGATAAAAGACTCACAGTGCCCTCAATCCTTCTTCTTCTTTCCTTAGATGCTAGAGTCCCCAGACCCTCGCATCACTGACCCGCGTCGGACGTGGATTTCATTTGTACATCGTCCTGATGACGGCAGCAACTCCAAAAAGAAATGCAAAGGCAGAGATAAGAAATTAGTAGGTTATTCTCGGAAGCACTTTTAGCTGTCCATTACATCCATCATGATAACAAACCCTTCCCTCTGGTTCTGAAGTTCAGGGTGGGAGTGCCGTTAATCTGTGCAGTCAAAATGGCACCATCCATCTATGAGAGGGTGGGGTCAGTTTGGGGAAACTCCAAGGTTTGCAGAAGTAGAGAAGCATTTGGGGGGGGGCAGTGGGAGGATTGCAGTTTTATGCATGTCTATTCAGAAGTAGTCCAATGAGGAATACTCCTCCCGGGATAAATGCAGGGCCGGATTTAGGTTTGATGAGGCCCTAAGCTACTGAAGGTAATGGGGCCCTTTATATGTCCAGCTGTCCTTTGTCAACAACAAATTGTCACTGTTTTTTGTGTCAAATATATGCTATATGGTAATTTATGGACCTAATAGGTAACCTAAAGCCATTTGCACGTAACAAAGTATGTATTTTACCAAAGTAATTGTTGAACTGAAATACAATTAAGAAGAAGTATATTAATAGTGAAATAATTATTAAGCTCTAACTTAAAATGATTGGGGGCCCATTACTTACATCATAGGAGCCTACACGACACAAAACACTGTTGCTGTATGTAGGTTTTATTTTATTTGTTTTTTATCTTATATTTTGGAAATGTACATCCAGTTTTTCCCCCTTTAATTTTTATGGGGGGACCCCAAGAGAGTGGGGCCCTAAGCTATAGCTTGTCTAGCTTATACGTAAATCCAGCACTGGTTAAATGTGTATAGGATTGCAACCTAGGTGTGTGTGTGTGTGTGTGTGTGTGTGTGTGTTTGGGGTGGGGGGCAGGAAACATTTTGCCACTCACATTCGTTTTGTGAGTCACCGACCCCCAGTTCCGTCTTCTGCCTCCCCAGTTGAAAGATCTTGAGCCCTAGGGCTGCAAAGAACAGAAGAGAAGCCCTGCAGCTTATATCTGGCCTGTGGATGTAGCCAGGATTTATGTTGTGTGGTTTTTTTTGGGGGGGGGGGATACCCACCTATCGCCATCGTCTTTCTGGCTCGGTCTAGCTGATTCGGAACAAAACATCTCAACAACAGTTTTTTAAAAAATTCTTTCTTTTGACCCCATGTGCTCAGAAAACCCTGCCATTTCGATTTCAGATATTCTGATTATTTCTACTTTCAGTTCAGTATTTTTATTTACTGGATTGGGGGTGGGCAGCAGCTCCTCTGCCTCCCTGGCTACACCCACAATCAGGCCTAAGGATTACTGACTCCAGCATTCTGTTCTCACAGTGGCCAGCCTTATGCCTCTGGGAAGCTTGTGAGCAGGACCTGAGTGCAACAGCAACTCTCCTCTCTTGCAGTTCCCAGAAACTGGTATGCAAAGGTTTACTGCCTCCAATAGTGGAGGCAGAACAGAGCCACCATAGCTAGCAGCCACGGGCAGCCTTGTCCTCCTGTAGCAGAGCATCGTGTGATTTGCTTTCAGATTATTCTCAGCTTCAGTCCCTGGTGTCTGCAGTTGGGGGTCCTTATCCTAGGAACAGAAGAAGAGCCTTCTGGATCAGGGCCCGTGTTGTCCAGCGTCCTGTTCTCACAGTGGCCAACCAGGTTCCTGTGGGAAACCAGCAAGCTGGACCTGAGCACATGAGCATTACTCTGACCAAGTGTAGCCATCATGGCTAGTAGATGTTGATAGCCTTATCCTCCAGATCTACCAAATCATCTGCCAAAGACCCTGAAGAACAAATGCCAACGATCTGATGTTGGGCTAAGTCAACTGGGGTAAACCTTTGCCCCTTCGGATCCTGCCAAACTACAACTGCTGTCATCCACCCTGACCATTGGCTACCCTTGCTAGGGATGATGGGAGTTGTAGTCCAGCAACATCTTTTTTAAAAAAAATAATTTTTATTGAATGATTTTATGTTACAAAAAACATTACAACCATACTACCACTAAATATAATTGAGAAATAAAAATTACATACATCAATATTTAGTTTATTATTTGTTATTTGCTGTCTTATTTCCTCCCAAACATTCCATACAAAACACACATATGTACAGACACACACAAAAAATGATAATAATGAAAGTAAATATTTTTTACCCTTTTATCTTTCAAAATCTTTTCTTCAATTTTGACTTCCTGTCAAGTCCCTTCACATATGTTTTATCTTACAATCGAATGTACACAAAACAGTAAACCTTTCTATAGAAATTCTATATAGAAATTCTATATAAATTTTCCGATACATTCTGAAAACATAATAAATCCTTAATTGTTATCCAGCAACATCTGTTGAGCAGAAAGTTCCCCACCCCTGGATGGCCTTTGTGGCCTGAGCCAGCATCTGACAGCTTTGCTTGTGGACTTGTCAAAAAAGGCAGCACCATGGATCAAGTCTAACTGTGTCGCTTCCTTCCTTAAAACTGACTGTCAGGGCAAATTGTATTTTAATTGTCGGGTTGTATTCTCTCCCTCCCTCAACCCCCCCACCCCAGTTTGTATTATTCTGTATTTTGTAAACATTGTGAGTTTTGCCTTGAAACCCAACTTGGGAGAAAGGTGGGCTATAGAATCTATGAAATGAAGGAGTCAAATAAAATAAACCAGGCTAGCGTATTTATCACAAATAAGGTTTCTGAATCCCCTCCCTCTCCCCAAACACTCTTCTTTCTTTCAGCGTGGCCTTGTTGGACCTCCAGGACCCCCAGGCCCTCCAGGACCCCCGGGGGCTCCAGGGGCAGAAGTCACCCAGGAAGTCTTGCTGCAGGAGTTCAAGAAGATGTTAAAAGGTACGCGGGTTCAATAGAGGCCGGCCTCCTTCCAAGCTCAGGCGGCAGCATCTTCCTCTCTCCTTTTTCTCAAGCCCTCATTTTTTTTTACTATGACTCTCTTGTTGTTGTTTAGTCGTTTAGTCATGTCTGACTCTTTGTGACCCCATGGACCAGAGCACTCCAGGCACTCCTGTCTTCCACTGCCTCCCGCAGTTTGGTCAAACTCATGTTGGTAGCTTCGAGAATACTGTCCAACCATCTCGTCCTCTGTCGTCCCCTTCTCCTTGTGCCCTCCATCTTTCCCAGCATCAGGGGCTTTTCCAGGGAGTCCTCTCTTCTCATGAGGTGGCCAAAGTATTGGAGCCTCAGCTTCAGGATCTGTCCTTCCAGTGAGCACTCAGGGCTGATTTCCTTCAGAATGGATAGGTCTGATCTTCTTGCAGTCCATGGGACTCTCAAGAGTCTCCTCCAGCACCATAATTCAAAAGCATAAATTCTTTGGTGATCAGCCTTCTTTATAGTGCAGCTCTCACTTCCATACATCACTGGGAAAACCATAGTTTTAACTATACGGATCTTTGTTGGCAAGGTGATATCTCTGCTTTTTAAGCTGCTGTCTAGGTTTGTCACTGCTTTTCTCCCAAGAAGCAGGCGTCTTTTAATTTCGTGACTGCTGTCATCATCTGCAGTGTTCATGGAGCCCAAGAAAGTAAAATATTTCACTGCCTCCGTTTCTTCCCCTTCTATTTGCCAGGAGGTGATGGGCCCAGTGGCCATGATCCTAGTTTTTTTGATGTTGAGCTTCAGACCATATTTTGCACTCTCCTCTTTCGGCTTCATTAGCACCATACATTTAAGCCTCATCTGAAGCATGCTCAGAACATCAGAAGAGGTTCCCTGCTGGGATCAGGTCAATGGGTCCATCTGGATCACTGCTTCTCAGATGCCACCTGTTTTGGGACTACAACTCCTACCATCCCTAGCTAGCAGGACCAGTGGTCAGGGATGAGGGGAACTGTAGTCCCAAAACAGCCGGAGACCCAAGTTTGGGAAACCCTGCTCTAGATAGACCAGCAAACTGATCTCACAGTGGCCAACCAGATACTCCTGTGGGACACGCACAAGCAGGAGTTCAGCACAAGAGCACTTTAAATGCATGGTGCTGCTATGGCCTAAGGCTGTGTACAACACCATACTTTTAAAGCACATGACTCTCCCCTCCTGGGAACTTTAGTTTGTGCAGGGGGCTGGGAATTGTAAGTCTGTGGAGAAGGGGCAAACTACAGTTCCCAGAATTCTTTGGAGGGCAAGGCAAAGTGCTGTAAATGGATGGTCAGCCAAACTCACTCTTCCAGTTGGACAGAGAAGCTGGATTCTCAGGGCCAACAAGATGACCTCCTATTTCCCCCCTTTTTCTTACAGAAGCCACTGAGCGGCGGGCCCCTCCGGCTTTGCCAACCCCCCTGAGCGAGGCGCCCCCTTTGCTGCTCTCCCTGGAGGAGGCCTCCCCCTACCGGCGAGTGGAGGAGGCTTTTCACTGCAAACTCAAGGGCCAGATCGTTGTGGACAAGAAGACTTTGATGGAACTCCAGAACTTCCAGATGGTGAGGAAACCACATCTCTTTAACTAGCGGGCATGTAGTGTGAAGCATGTATTGGGTTGTAGCCAAGGCTAGTCCTGATTAGAGTAGACCCACTGATGTTAAGGACTAACTTAGGCCGTGGCTACTTCCCCCAAAGGATTCTGGGAGCTGTCATTTGTTAAGGGTGCTGAGAGCTGTGAGGAGACCCCTGTTCTCCCTCACAGAGCTACCGTTCCCAGAGTTCCCCAGGAAGAAGAGTTGATCGTTAAACCATGTGGAGAATCATAACTTGGGGGGGGGGGGAAATAGGGGGGTCTCCTCGCAACTCTCAGCACCCATAACCAACGGCAGCTCCCAGAATCCTTTGGGGGAAGCCATGGCTGTTTAAAGTGATATCATAGTGTTTTAAACGTGTGAATGTGGCCTAAGTTTGTAGTTTATTTACTTACTTTAAGGATTTCATAACCCTCTCAGCCTTGGAATGGCAAGTTTGAGTCCCAGAGCCATTCTTCAAGCTCAGTGAATTGCCAAGAGCCTCTAAAAGTAAAATTTCTGCATATGGAGGTTGGAGGGGGGGGGGAGGCAAAGTTCTCTGGAAGGATAATCCTGGTGCCATGCTAATTGGCGTGGAGAGAGGGAGACTTAAGACATCTTAATAGCCATCAGGGGCTGTAATGGAGGGAGTCAGTCCTTTCTTAATTATGTTTGGCGGATTCCTGGGGCCTGCCTGTGCCAAGGGGTACGCTGGTGCCAGCACTTGTGGGCCCGAGCAGGGCGTGTTTGGGGCACGAATGTAGCTGTGAGTCTGCGGCACAGTTGCTGTGGGCGCCGACAGCAGGATGAGAGGGCATCCTGGCGACGAAAGGGAAAATAGGACCTTGTCAAGGCGGCATTTCATCACCTCTGTCTTCGGGTGTATCTGCAGACTGAACGCAAAGTCCTTGGGAATCAGAAGTGGGGAGAGAGACCTGTTTGTAAGCATCGCCCTTGAGCCAGTGCCACCAACTGGACTCATCCACTTCAGCCCCGACTGGGTTAGGCGAGCTGGGTAGCACTTCCAGAGACCACCTTCTGCACAGGAACAGGTCAAAGTGCTGTGGACTCACAGCTTAGAGTTGTGAGCACCGGATTCACTCCAACAAGAAGACAGTCGTCGCACAGCAGAGTAGAGCAGAGTCTAGCAGAGTATATAAACAACTCGGAGAGCAGCTCTGTAGAATATCTTCTTTTATTCTATCTACAACTATACAAACTATATACAGAGCTTAATAGGTCTAAGCATAAATGAATGCTGCACTGCACTGAGTGTCTGCAGCTGCTCTTAGCAGCAACCTTATCTCTACACACGATCTCTAACACTCAGTCTTTCTCTCTCTCTCCGACACTGACTGACTGACTGACTCGGTGCTGGAGCAGAATAAGTAGAGAGCAGAACACGCCTCCTCCTCTCTGGAGAATCAGCAGACTCCTCAGGAGATTCTTGGATATGGGAGGGGTGAAATCTCCTCACTGTTGCGCTCCAGCCCTGCTTGTGGGGTTCCCAGAGGGCCGTCTGGTTGGCCACTGTGGGAACACGGTGCTGGGCTGTGTTATGTGTTGGGCCCAGAGGCGCCAACTTCTCTGGACAATTGAAGGGGCCTGACAAAGTCCTGATGTCACGCGTGGGTCCCTCTGAATATTGAGGGGGCCCAGCCCCTTAAAAAAAAAAAGATTGGGGGTCCGTAGTGCCTCAGGCCCCAGGAGCCAGTGCCCTAGTTTGGGTCTAATCTGTCAGGGCTCTCATTCATCATTCTTCTCCTGGGTATCTTTACTAGAGGATTAGACAAATTCATGAAGGACATGGGTATGTTTAGCATAGGGAAAGAGAAGACTGAGAGGAGATATGATAGCCCTCTTTGAATATCTCAAGGGCTGTCCCATGGAAGATGGAGCAAGCTTGTTTTCTCCTGCCCTGGAGGGTAGGACTCGAACCCACAGCTTCGAGTTACAAGCTAGGAGATTCCGACTAAATTCAGACAATATGAGCTGTTTGACAGTGGAATGGTCTCCCTCGGGAGGTGGTGGACTCTCCTTCCTGACGCGCAGCGTAAAATAATAATGCAGAGTTTTTAAGTGAAAGAATAAGAGCTTTACTGAGTTAAAATAAACTTCTTTATAAACAACATGGTTCCAAACCATTTGACTGAGATTACATACTGACTGTGCTCAAAACTGAGGCAGACGGACACTAACTGAAATCTTACAGAGAACACACAGAGAAAATGGCTGCTACTTATAAGGAGACTGAGACACATGTCAGAGTGACTCAACAGTTAGCAGCTGGCCTGAATAACTTTAGTAGGCCCAAATGATTGTGCAGTCCCAGCACTTCCCAGTCTGCTTTGCTGCTTCTGCTTTCATGTGTCTTTGTCACATGACACTTCCTTGGAGGTTTTTAAGCAGAGGTTGGGCGGCCACTTGCCATGGATGCTTTAGCTGAGATGCCAGCATTGCAGGGGGTTGGACTAGATGACCTTTGGTGTCACTTCCAACTCTCTGATTCTCTGATTCAATGGCTACCAATGGCTACTAGCCACAATGGCTATGTTCTCCCACTACTGATGGAGGCAGGATGCTGCAGGATAACAGTGGCTGGGAATCACAACTGGGGAGAGCTCTGAGTTTCTGCTTGTGGGCTTCCCATAATGAGCCTGTGGTTGGCCAACCTGAGAGCAGGATGTTGGACTAGATGGACCTTTGGCCTGATCCAGCAGGGCTCTGCTTAGGCTCTTATTATATCTTCATGGTTCTGGTGAAGCAGATGCTCTACTGCCGAGCTCAAGTCCTCATAAGGAATGGGGGCACTATGTCGACGTCCTTTCATTCTGCAAGAGACAGAGAGGGAGAGAATGGCGAAGCTGCAGAGGGAGAGAGAGAGAGAGGGAAAGACGTGAAGAAACAGGAATGTTTTATCAAGCGGTAATTTACTGGTGCCGGAAAATTGCCTTCCATTTCAAGTCCGCGGTTTCGGGGGAATTAAGTCGCTGCCTCCGTTTTAGTTTAATTGCTTTTAACGAAAGGGGGGAAGGAACAGAGCTGCCAAAAATGGGTTGGCAGTCTCTGCCTAACAGATTGGAGGGGGACCCACACACACAAATTTGAAAAGGGGAGTGGAAGGGCCCATACCATATACTAGGGGTGTCAAATAAGCAACTGAGAAGAATCAAAGCTGTCTTATGCATGGCCTTTGGCTTGATATTGCTCTCTACCGTCCTACTCTCCAAAGTGGTACAGCCTTCCAACAGACGCATCATAGTGCTGATAATGCCAAGGCTGCAGGTTCGATCCCTGTATGGGATAGCTGTATAGTTTTGCATTGCGGGGGGTTGGAATGGATGATCCTCAGGGTCCCTTCCAACTCTACAATTCTATGATTCTATGTAGGTTTGCTCTAGCTCTATAGCTGTTGAGCTAACTCAAGCAACCCACTCATTTTATCTGATTTGTATTGATAAATATATTACATACATCTGCCAGTTTTGTGGATTTTAGCTGTGTTTTATCCATCCTTTTACGATGGGCACATCCCACTAAGTCCTTCTCAGAGATAGAGCCACCGAAATTAATGGACCTACATCTGTCATGCTCATCCATAAGAACATATGAAAAGCCCTGCAGCTGAATCAGGCCAATGGTCCATCTAGTTCAACATCTTCTCACAGTGGCCGACGACATGCCCATTAGGATTGCAGTCTTATCTGATGGAGGATCTATTGTATATTATTTTTTTACCCTTAATGTTGTTGTATTAATATGCTGGGACCCTTGGGCCAAACACCATATAATCATCATCATCATCATAAATATTATTATTATTATTAGTAGTAGTAGTAACAACAATTACAATATTATTATTAGTAGTAGTAGTAGTAACAACAATTAAAATATTAATATTAATAGTAGTAGTAATAATAGATATTATTAACAGTAACAATAATTACTAATAGTAATAAAGTTACCTAGGCAAAACCAGCTTTCTCTCTCTCCTGAAAAAAAACACCACCCAAATTCTGATGTTGCAGCAACAGCAGAACCTCCAATTAATGGGCTTTTTCTTTCCTTGGCACATTAAAGCTAATTTTCTCCTCCTCCCTGACTTGAGCCAAACCCACACCGCAGGAGCCAAAGATAACAATAAACACCCGCACTGAGTTTATTTTAGGCTAAGTCCGATAATCTTTCCTGCCAGCTTTGCAACTGGAGACCTCTCCCTTGCATGGCAGCAGCTAAACCCGGGGTGGGAGGTGGGGAGCGCTCTTTAGGCCTCCTCGGTTGGTCCCCCCAAAAAAACTGTAGAGATGAAGGCAAAGAAAAACAAAGGTCGCTAAGCCCTCCCCAATGGCGCAGAAGAAAGTGATTCGGTAGGGCTAGGGGTGTGTGTATAGAGGGAGGTTGGAGAATTTTGCCAAACAGAAACGAGAGCAGAAATGGCCAATGTATACTTGTTCGTCCTACATCCGGAACGGAAGTCAATTGGGCGAACATGATCAGCAAATGATACATAATTGATTATGGTTCCCTGCCTCAACCCCACATTTGCATTGTGTTTTCTTTGCAATGAAATGAGCCGGGTGGAATAATGTCACAACCACGTTCCTGGGATAGCTCAGTTGATAGAGTGTGAGACTATCGGTTCGAGACACACTTTGGGCAAAAAAGATTCTTGCGTTGCATGGGGTTGGACTAGATGACTCTTCTGACTCTACAGCCTTATGATTCTTATGTGATTACTTGGTGTTACGGATGTTATGGTTTTGTTACAGTGGACAAACGAGACGAATGGTGCCATTTTTGGTGAAAGGCTTAACTGGGGGAAAAGATTAAATGTTAAACTTAAGGTGGATACAACCCTGCGATTCTTGAATGTAAAGTGGTCTGGTGATGTTTAAAGTCAAAGACACAACACAAGAAAGCGTCTGTGTGTTATGAAATAGAGAGAAGGGGAGCAATGGAGGCGGTGGCCAGGGTCTCGTTGGATTTGTGACGGTGTTCTTTTTCTCCCTAGCCTTCGGCCAAAGGAGCATTCCTCCGGGGATCTGGTTTGAACTTAACCACCGGGAGATTTACAGCATCTATATCTGGCATTTATCAGTTTTCGGCCAACGTCCACATTGGTGAGTGGGAACTCTTGCTGCTGGCAGATAACATGTCCTTTTGCCTTCGTTTCACAGCTGGTACGGTCTTGAAAAAAGAAGGTCAAATCTAACCCTACGGAAGCTGGTTCCTCTAACACAGGGACCTTATTTATGCCTGAGGGGCCAAATTTGCTTCTGGGCAACCTTCCAAGGGCCACATGCCAGAGGCAGAAGTGGGTGGGGCAATAAATGTTGATGTTAAATTTGCATCCAAGGCTAATTTCTGTGCACACATCTCTATATTCATTACATACCCTCCTTCCTTTTCTTTTTCTTCAAGACCACAGTGAGCTGAAAAGTAAACTACAGCTTCGAGCAAGAGACAACGTCCGGGTGCTGATCTGCATCGAATCCCTCTGTCATCGCAACACGTAAGTCACTGGGATGCTGCTGCAATACCATCTCAGGACACAGGTGGGGAACCTTTGGACCATTGTCCGAATGTGGTCTTCCAGCTCTCTGTGTCTGGCTCTCAGGACTCTCCCCAGGCCACACACCCTCCCCAGCTAGGTCTCTCCCCAGCCCTGCTTTGTACCTTCCTTGAGCACCTTTGCGTGGCTGGAACATGTCCTTGAACTCTGAACTCATGCCTGCAAGAGAGGGGTGGGTGTTGAAACCAGCCTACTGCGCAAAGGTCATTTTAAAATCCACTGCTCCGCCCACTTTTACCTCTAGCTCCGCCTACCACTGGCATGTGACCCCCAGAAGGGAATGCAGCCCTTGGAATGAAAAAGGGTCCCCCATCCTTGTTTCAGCATCTACCATCTTTATGGCAGGCCTAATCTAAGGTTTCTTTCTCAATGGATAATTGAAGTAACAATAAGAACAACAACAATAGCAATATCCCAGCCATTCTTTCCTCCCTGAAATACACTTGAGTCTCAACTTATGCTTGTCAGAATAACACCAGCACATTATGAATAGGAGTCAATAATAGGAGTCAAAAGGGAAATTGGAGGTCATTTTGCTCCACCCTCTGCTGGGCACAAGATCTTCAATGCTGGAGGCAACTAAGATAATGAGAAAAGCTCTGCTAGATGAGGCCAATGGCCCATTGGGGTCAGGCATCCTGTTCTCTCAGTGTTCATCCAGATACCTACAGGAAACCCCACCAAAACAGGGCCCATGGAAATTAAGAACATAACTAAAGCCTGCTGGATCAGACCAAAAGCCCATCTAGTCTAACACCCTGCCAACCAAATGCTTCTTCTGGAAATCCTGCAAGCAGGACCTGAGTGCAACAGCAACTCTCCCTACTTGTGAATGCCAGCAAGTAGACATCTTGCTTCCAACAATGAAGACAGAACATAGATATCAGGCTTAATAGCCTTCTTCTCCATGCTACTTCCCTGACTAACCAGTTTCTGCATAAAAACCTTCAGTGAAGCAGAGCAAAGCACTCTGTTTCACCGCTCTTATCAGTGAGGCACTGCTCCTATCTTTTAGCCGAAATTGATTTTCCTGCCGTTTCCACCCCCCACGCTCCTTCGCCCTGGAGCGACAGAAAATGCACCTGCTCGATTTTCCTCAGGACAACCCTTCAATCCTCTCGTGGTCTCCCCTTCATCTTCTCTTCTCCAGGGTTCATGGCTTACCCTGGCCCACGGCGGCCATCTTTGTTTTGGATGGTTCTTTGGAAGTTGACTCATTCTGGAGCATTCGGGGGTCGGAATGGCTGCCGTGCACAAAAATATGGCAGCCTCGTGCATTCAGACCTGTCTCCCATGGCAACCATCCGCAGCTCTTCTGAAGGCCTGCAGCTTCTCAATTGAAAGGGCTGTGTCTCCTCAGTAAGCCTCGTTGGAAAAGCTTAGAGATCTGCAGTTCATTTGGCAGAGGGCAGTGGTGTTCCCCCAGCCCTTTCTAAAACACCCCCCATGCTTTCCTTGCACAAGAACGGCCATTTTGGGTCTTTTCTCTTTCCTGATTTGTTCTTTGTCCGCCACACTCGCCACAACTCTGTCAAAACAAAAGTGGGGAAAATGTCCTCTGAACGGGTCTCTGCTGGCAGCTCTTGAAACCCCACGGAAGCCAAAAAGTGGAGCTGGAAGAAAGGTTTGGGCACACGGCTGTGCCAAAGACCCCCCCTTCCTCTTCGTGACTCAGATGGAACCGATCTCGCTGTTAAAGTTCTAATTTAAACACTTTTATTGGAGGAACAGAGAAGAAGGTGTGGAATGCTGAAGAATTAAAAAAAACACCCCAGACCAGGCCTTGTTCATAGACTTTGTTGGCTCCCCCAAAAGACGCCATGGAGCTTGCAAGGAGTTGTTGTTATTAGTAGCAGTGGGTGCTGGGAGATGGCAGAAACCCCTTGAACCTGATAGTTTGGCAGATACCGCAGCAGGGAAGAACATAGAGTCAGCAATAAATTGCATTCATAACACGAACACAAAATCTACCGCAAACCAGGAGCTTAATACATCAACGCAGCCAGTTGATGTTTTCCATGGGGAAAATCTGGGTGAACAGATACGTTTTAAGCAAGGGCCAAAATGCCTAATTAGGGAAGAGAGGATGTGTCCCATTTCGTTTTCTCATTTTTCCAGCCTTACCGTCAGTTCTCCACATTTCCTCTTGCCTTTTTAAAAGAAGCCCCGCATGAAAATTCATCTGCTGTTTTGTGAGAATTTCTCCTAATGTATCCCTTTTCGTATGCAGCTTTGCCAAATACACAGATTTTTGTTTTGCAAGCCATTTCCCCATATATAATGCATATTTGTATACCATGTTCCCTTATATGCACTTCAATGCACAGTTCCACCAAGTTTATTTTCATTTTTCGCATTTCTATCCCACAAGGAACTTGAGGTGGTGTGTACATGGTTCCCTTCTTCCTCCCCATTTTGTCCTCACAACAACCATGTGAGGTAGGTTAGGCTGAGAGGCTGCCCCAGGCCGAAGGCCACCCAGTGAGTTTCATGGCTGCTTGGGGATTTGAGCCCTGGTCTCCCAGGTCCTAGTCCAACACTCCAGTCACTGGACCACACTGGTGTGAAGATAAACACTAGCTTAGTTCTTTAAAAAGTAAATTTTATTGTTTATAGCCCAGTGGCCCATCACAATACAGTATGAGCAGAAATCACACAGCTACAAAACTAAAGGCATTGCATGCCACCAGACCAGGACAAATCTACAATGTCCAAAATTTAGGAATGTTCCTTCTAGTCAGCATCCCTGGGCATTGGCACTTGCACAAACCAGAAAAGTTGCTCTTACCTTTCTTGTGCTAGTACAAATAGTGTCACCCTATAGCTGATGCACATTTCGACGTCTGCCAAAACCATTTAATTTTCGAATCATCTGGATGACCTTCAAAGGCGATCTGAAAAGGGGAGACTAATTTAGCTCTGGGTGAATCATACAATGGGCAATATGAAACATAATGTAAAAGATGCTCAGTAGACCCTCTGGGGTTTCAGATGTGAATATTTCCCGGCCCTATCAGGAGATGTTGGACCGGTGGCCTACCCACCAAGCTCTTCTTCAGCTTTGGAGCAATTGGCCATGCTTGTAAAGGCTACTCCTGTTGCTGAAACAGAGGCGAAAGAGAGCCTCCAGCAAGTCAGGGGGCTGTTGCTCTTGGACCGTCTCTGGATAGGGGTGGATTCAGGTGAACATTGGAGTTGGTTTTTGGCATGGCGGCTGTGGAAACTGGGAGCAGTGGAGTGAGGCGATGGTTTCCGTTCCCTCGGGTTGCCTCACCTCTTATGAAACATGACGAGGCCAGGACATCAGCTGGCTCGGGGCATGCCTCTACCACCTGCCCAACCTGGCAGTGCCCCTTTATTAGGGCTTTGCTTGCACCTGCAGGGTGGGGCAACCTGCCTCCGGAGGGCATGAGACCTGTTGCAATGTCGGTAGGAGAGCAAGCCCAAACGAGCCATCAGCTGGCAAAACTGCTGAGAGCGAAGAGCATGTCATAAACATGGGGGTTGTAGCCAACGTCGGCCCTACTCAGAGTAGATCCATTGAAATGAACCGGCGCGGCTAATTTAGGGGTTGCAGCCAACTTTAATCCTCCTCAGACTAGACCTTTTCTGTTGTACCCAACTACACCCTCCTCAGAGTAGACCCTAAGTTGGCTCTGGTCATTAATTTCAATGGACGCATGTCTGACATTATTAAGGGTCATGTCTAACTTAGGATCACGTTTAACTTAGGTTCGTTCATTTCAACAGGTATGCTCTGAGCAGAACTTATTTGGCTACAACCCATCATTTTTTTACTTGGTTAGTCATCTGCCTTAGAACCCAGGGATGGATGGAAGAAATTTAAATTAATGTGTTTGTTGCTGAAAGATCTCCATTTTGTTTTGCTCCACTTCCTCCAAATTATCTTCCAAAACCGACTGTGTGGGGAACCTCTGACCCTCCAGATGTTGCTGAACTACAACTTCCAGGAGGCGTGGCCAACGGCCAGAGGGATAAGGAGAGTTGTAGTTCAGCAAAGGTACAGGGCCAAAGGTTCCCCACACAGCCATTTTTTTCCAAGGTAATTTGGAGGAAGTTGAACAAAACTTTAAAATAGCCCATTCCTATGCATATACAGTGGTACCTCGGGTTAAGTACTTAATTCGTTCTGGAGGTCCACTTTAGCTAATGGGACCTCCCGCTGCCGCCGCGCCGCCGGAGGACGATTTCTGTTCTCATCCTGAAGTAAAGTTCTTAAACCGAGGTAATATTTCTGGGTTAGCGGAGTCTGTAACCTGAAGCGTATGTAACCTGAGGTACCACTTTACAACCGGAAGCAAACTGGTACTGTGTTCAGTGGGGCTTCCTCATGGGTAAAGGTGCAGAGTAAAGTTAGGGCCAGCTTGCTAATACACCTGGCTTTGCAAGCCGGTGGAAATCACAGAGGAAACAATGAGAGCACACTGCAATTGGAGGGGCAACCGAAATGATCAAGGGGATGGAACAACTCCCCTATGAGGAAAGGTTGACGCATTTGGATTTTTTTTTTAAGTTTAGAGGAAAGGCAACTAAAAGGTGACATGGCAGAAGTTTATAAATTTATGCTCGGCATGCAGAAAGGGGACAGGGGAAAGTGTTTCCTCCTTCTCTCATAACGCTGGAACTCATGGACATCCCAAGAAAAACTGAATGTTGGAAGCTTTGGGACAGAGGAAAGGAAGAGCTTCTTCAGGCAGTACATAGGTAACCTGCGGAACTCACTTCCACAGGAGGAAGTGGGGACCGCTAACTTGGGTGCTTGAAAAGAGGACTGGACAAATTCTAGGAGGTTGAGGCGACGAATGGCTATTGGCCTTGATGATTATGCTCTGCCTCCGTGGTCAAAGGCAAAAAATGCCAATTTCTGGAAATGGCAGAAGGGGAGAGTGCTCTTCTTTTTCAGGGCGTACTTGCAGGCATCTGGCTGGCCACTGTGAGAATAAATGGACTATATGGGCCATTGGCCTGATCCTGCAGGCTCTTCTTATGTCCTTATAAATGATGGAGATCTTGCGGAATTTGAGCTTGCGATACCCCACTTCTCAGCCACCGTGCTATGCCAAGCTATGACTCTGGTCTGTGAACATCTGTCTCCCTTTCTTTTGCACCTCGTAGGTCTTTGGAAGTTATTGCTGGTCTGGAAAGCAACAGCAAGATCTTCACCGTTTATGTCCACGGATTGCTGCAGCTGCAGGTATAAGGGGGCTGTAGAGCTGGTGGTAATGTAGCCTATAAAGAGAACCAGTGAATTGACGCGGGTGGCACTGTGGGTTAAACCAAAGAGCCGAGGACTTGCTGATCAGAAGGTCGGCGGTTTGAATCCCCGCAACAGGGTGAGCTCCCGTTGCTCGGTCCCTGCTCCTGCCAACCTAGCAATTCAAAAGCACATCAAATTGCAAGTAGATAAATAGGTACCACTCTGGTGGGAAGGTAAAAGGCGTTTCCGTGCGCTGCTCTGGTTCACCAGAAGTGGCTTAGTCATGCTGGCCACATGACCCGGAAGCTGTACTTTACAGCCAGTAAAGCGAGATGAGCACCGCAACCCCAGAGTTGGACACATCCTTTTACCTTTACCTTTTAGAGCTGGTGGTAATGTAGCCTATAAAGAGCACCAGTGAATTGAGACAGACTCCCGCCCCTGGGGCCACCATTTTTATGCAACAGGTTCGGCAGGTGGGAAGAACCATAGCTCAGTGGTAGGGCATCTGCTCTGCATGCAGAAGGTTCAATCTCCGGCATCTCCATTATTAGGTTTTATTTTGTCTCAGGGCAGATTACAATTAAAATTCTGAAAACGCTGTAAAACAGCTTCAAATTATAGAAATAAGATGGGTCAAGTGTCGAAAGCCAAGGCGTGCTTTGTCATGGAGAGGAGGGAGCCCCACAGCCTTCCACAGAGAAGGCCCTTTCCTGGTCTGCCACCCCCACCAACTCCTGTGGGTGGCAGAACAAGCAAGAAGGCCTCCTCTGCTGATTTCAGCACCCAAGAAGGTCTGTAGGGAAGGAGCAGGTCTTTTGGGTAGTTCAGCCCTGAATAGTTCAGGGCAGTGCTCCCCAAACTTGGGTCTCCAGCTGGTTTTGGACTACAATTCCCATCATTCCCCCTGCCAGCTAGGTAGGGACGATGGGAGTTGTAGTCCAAAAAGAGCTGGGGACCCAAGTTTGGGAAACACTGGCTTTGAACGCTAATGGGAGAACCTTCAATCGGACCTGGAAACAAACCGGCAACCCCCAGGCTTGTGGTTCTCTTGTAGCTTTGTACATTGGCTCCCAGTATGTTTCTGAGCACAACTCAAAATGTTGGTGCTGACCTTTAAAGCCCTAAACGGCCTCCGTCCAGTATACCTGAAGGAGCATCTCCACCTCCATCATTCTGCCTGGACACTAAGGTCTAGCGTCGAGGGCCTTCTGGCAGTTCCCTCACTGTGAGAAGCCAAGTTACAGGGAACCAGGCAGAGGGTCTTCTTGGTAGTGGCACCCGCCCTGTGGAACGCCCTCCCACCAGATGTCAAAGAGAACAACAACTACCAGACTTTTAGAAGACATCTGAAGGCAGTCCTCTTTTAATGTTTAACAGACTACTGTATTTTAATACTTTGTTGGAAGCCGCCCAGAGTGGCTGGGGAAACACAGCCAGATGGGCAGGGTATAAATAATAAATTCTTATTCTTATTTCTTCTTCTCTTCCCTTGTGGTGCAGCCTGGACAATACACTTCCATCTTTGTCGACAACAGCGCCGGTGCCCCTGTCACCATTCAGAACGGATCTGATTTCATGGGGATGCTGGTGGGAGTCTAATCCCGGATGACCCTCGACGCAGGGGGGCAGGGGGACGAAGATGCAGCCAAGGACCTGCCCGTCCGTACTTTGCCACCTCTGTCCCAGGGGATCGCCTTCTCTTTGCCGTTAGGCTTCTCCAGCTGAGTGACGCAAACAATACTTTCCCTTCTTCCCGCGGCATAGCAATAATTCAAGAAGAAGACAAAAATCACGGGAGGAGAACAGTTCTTGCCACTGAACCTAAAAGACCAGATCTATTTCGTTCCCAGTACAATATATTCACAGGACACCTTCACTTCCTCAACCTCGGCTCTGAGATCCAAAACTTTGCTTTTGCTTCGGGATACAGCGTTTTGTTTTTGAAAAGACCAACCTTCCAAGGACATCTAACTCTCATCTGAACTGGGGGGGGGGGGCTTGGTGCACTGTGGGTAAGTGGGTCTCTGAAGGCATAAGAAAAACAAAGGTGGCTCCAAAGCAGAGCACCTGCTTTGTGTGTAGAAGGTCCTTAGTCCAGCCCCCAGCATGATTTGAGAAACAGCAGACTCCCTTCTGAAAGGATTCCTGTTTTCTGATTCCACCCTACCTAATTGGTTTCCTTTTTTTTAAAAAAAAGGCCTAAAAAGCTCCTTGCAATTTAATGCCGAACCATTTTTAAATCAGCCTTCCCATTGCAGATGCAAAAGCGTGTCCCACAAAAAATGGATGAAGAGCAACTAAGTCCCTTGGACCAGTTACTCTCTCTGGACATCAATTGGTGGTGCGGGTTTTTTTTAAATCTGTTCCTGGCAGGGAACCTATGCCGGCCCCTCCTGTGAACCACTTAGACCTTCCTAAAGGAAGCAAAGGATCCAGCTATATGGTTGTAGCCTATGATGTCCCACTCAGAACAGACCCATTGAAATGAATGGACCGAAGCATCCCCTTACTGTCAATGAGTCTACTCTGAGTCCAACTAGCATTGGACACAACCCAAAACGAATGGAATAGCTGCAAAGTTATTCTAACAGGTGGGTTGTGAGTCACAGGAAAAGCTGGTGAAGGTGAGGGGAGTCCCCATTTTCAGAATGGAGTTTCATCCATGCATCCTTCAAATTCTCCATCTTCACCACATCCCTGAATTTTGTTGACATTCCAGCCCTGCTTTCAAGTGATCGTTGTCGGCTTGTGTGTTTGTGTGTATGTGTGTTTGCGTGCTGGCTCTGGCTGAGTTGAAAAACAGTTTAATAATTATTATAATTGAGAAGAGAACTGTATATTATTTAAATTATCTGTGCTTGACCGCAAGTGCCCAGCCTCACTATATACAAAGGCCGAGGAAGGCAAGTCTGGAGCTATTAGTAATTGGTGTGATGTCGCCAGAGTGATTTCTGACGGGATTTTGCCGCTCTGGGGGGAAAGAGAAGGGGGACCAAGCACAGCCTCCCGAAGAGACAGAAAGGATGTGTTTGGGCTCAAGCATCGTCACGGCAGCTGGCAGATTTCTGCTAATTTCTTTCCAGAGACTTTGACATGCAACTGTGGACTTAGCCATCAACACCCAGCCTGCACCTTCAAAGGTTCCCCCACCCCGACTGTTTAAGAATCACCCCCGGGCCTTTTGTTGCGTTTCAAAGTAACCCCATTAGGGCAGGACAAAGTGTTACAAATCCATTTTCCCCCTCTGCATCCGTATGATGAGCTCTCATTCGTCTCCTAACCTCGTCGATACACTTCTCTGCCCTCCCTGTGTGGGAAGCAGGTAGTGATTTAAACAGTCCACACCTGCCCATTTTGAGCAGGGCAGGATCCTGCTGGATAGCTCACTTGGTTAGAGCGTGGTGCTGTTAACACCACGTTCACGGGTTCAATCCCCATAAGGGACAGCTCAGGGTCCCTTCCAACTCTATGATTCTATGAGATGTCAGCAGTGGGCAGGGATGGATTTAGCAGCCTGGTACTGACAGGAGAGATGTCCAGCAGGGGAGCTGTCCAGCAACGACCTAGTGCTGGTTCAGCAAAGCTTTTACATTAGCCAACAGACTGGGCGAGACGGGGTGTGTGTGTGTGTTATAGCAGGCCAGCTTTTCCTGCCTCTTCCTGGCTTCTCAGCAGGGCCCTGTTCCCGGAACGTAAACTTGTGTTTGCCTCCTCTGAAGTAGGGAGAGAGAAATTTGGTTCGTTTTACATTTTGATGTGCACCTACCTGGTTTGCACTTCCCAAAACAACATGTAAAATCATGGCTATCCTTTTAAAATCTCTGAATTTTGTGGTGTGGTTCTCGAACCAAAGAAAAAAGAAAAATTGCATGTATTGGGGGAAATAGCATCGCAAAACGCATCCTGTTAAGGAAAACAGCTTGCGAAAACATCTGCGTTCAGCAAAATAGCGTACCAAAAATATATAAAGGTAAAGGGACCCCTGACCATTAGGTCTAGTCGTGGACGACTCTGGGGTTGCGGGTCTCATCTTGCTTTACTGGCCGAGGGAGCTGGCGTACAGCTTCCGGGTTATGTGGTCAGCATGACTAAGCCGCTTCTGGCGAAACCAGAGCAGCACACGGAAACACCATTTACCTTCCCGCCAGAGCGGTACCTATTTATCTACTTGCACTTTGACGTGCTTTCGAACTGCTAGGTTAGCAGGAGCAGGGACCGAGCAACGGGAGCTCACCCTGTCGTGGGGATTCGAACCGCCGACCTTCTGATCGGCAAGTCCTAGGCTCTGTGGTTTAACCCACAGCACCACCCGCGTCCCACCAAAAATATATATGGGTGAATTAAAGAACATGCCCGCTACAACACAAACGAGTCTTTGAGAAGACTTTTTAAAAATGCAGAAATGGACCACTTGAGAATGGGGAAATGAGAAATGAAAATGGAAAGATTTGTCCACCCCAGTTCCCAAGGAGGGATGAAGGAAAGGACGCCTGCTAAACACACACTGCATCTCCAATGATGGGGTTTGGCGCAGACTCGTTGCTTCTGCTTGTTCAGTCTCAGGAGGGTCAGGAAAAGGATCTGCAGCTAGGTGGGGAGTCCCAACAGAAAGAACATTGGGTTCCTTCATGTTTCAGCCCGCTAGGTGAAGGCATCACCTGAGGTGATGGCCTCAGAATGGGGTCATGGGAAATGTAATTCCCTCTGATCCCAGTCTGTGCTAGGAGCCATGGTAAGGACTGGATTTCCCTCTTCTTTGCAGGAGGACCTATCCTGCTCAGGGGCCAGGCAACGAACACAGAGCATCGTGACCATTGACCATGGGGACATGGAGCTGCCAATTTGGGCAATGGCTTCTTTTATCTTGCAACATTTAGTCCTGCCCTAGATCTTTTACCATGCGAAACATTTCCTGCAAGCTGGGTGATTTATTTCAATTTTAATTTTAAATAAGAGTGGGGTGCATGTGTGTCAAGAAACGGGGAGAGGGAGATTATTTCAAGCAAGCGCAACCCTTCTAGTAGCGCCTCTTGCCTTTATCGTCTTATGTTTTAATAAGATATATTAATAAATCTGTATATTTAGTCACCTTGTATACACAGCAGCCCTCGGGGCACGCATTTAAAGCTGTAAACATATCATTGCACACTGGAGGGGCTGCCAAGCAGCCTGGCATGGGATCGGCAGGCTGGCGGGGAGAGTGTTGACTTATTTATGGAGCTGGCTTGGCATTGACTGCGATGAAAACTTGTGAAGGATAACGTGGTGCAAACAGTCTCTCTACTGCACTGTTTTCAGTCTGGCTTAAAAGCTCTAGGTTGCATCCGGTGCTAGTTCTGCTCAGAGTAAACCCATTGGAGTTAATAGACATGGCTAACTTGAGTCAATTGCATTCAATGGCTTTACACTGTTCAGAAGAGAGAATTCAGCTCTTCTCATACAATCCTAATGGATCGTCTTCTATGTTAGTCCAAGTCAGAGTAGACTCACTGGGCCTTATCCAATGCAGCAGCTCTGCTGGTACACAGGATTTCTATGTGCAAAATGGATCTTCCTCTCTCTTCCCTCCCCCATACCCTCTAAATTAGCTCTGAAAGTTTGGGGGACCCACCAGAGCAGATTTATTTGGGGGTGCTTAACTAGGTGGAGAGGAAACAGAAATATTGTTGCACCAGCAGAACCCCACTGGGTTCATCAGTTTCATTGGGTGGTATTCAATGCTAGTCCTGCTCAGAGTAGACCCACTGAAGTTAATGGGCATGACTAACTTAGATTTGTTCATTTCAGTGAAGGACTTAGTTGAATATAGCCCTGTGGGTGGTAATTAACCAAATGTAACAGTCGGCCTGTTGAAACTAATGTAACTAACTGGCTAAAAATTTTTAGTAGGTCTATTCAGTGGGTCTATTGAATGCCACCCAGTGGGTCAACTCAGAGTAGGATTTTGTTGGATACAAACCAAAAGGATTGCAATATTTAAAATTGGGAATTTCTTACCCAGGATTGCACAAGAATTCTAAGAAATCAAGGCAGTTTAGAAAAGTTCAGTCCACCATCTTGATTCAAAATGGCGCCCACTTGTACCCAAGCACAAACCTGCTCCTTGATCTCAGGAACCATAATGAAAAATTTGGTTACGATGACTTTAGAGGTGTCCAAATGCATCATGAACAGACAAACAACTTTCCCAAATCCGTAACAAGACTAGCAACCTATTACCCAGCGTTGCTTGGGAATTCTAAGAAACCCAAATGTCAGTACAGTTTTGAAATCACTTGTTAAAATGCAGTGCAGCTTACAGAGCTTGGCTGTGCCATTTTGATTCAAAGCGGCTTCCAATCCTAAGCGGAAACCAAAACCTGCTCCTCAAACTCAGGAACTGTTATGGGAAATTTAGCGATGACATCAGTGCCATTTTGAGAAGTCCAGCCCGCCATCTTGATTCAAGACGCCATCTAATTCTATCCAAACATAGATGAAAGCCGCCTTCTTGATTTCAGCAACCGCGACGCCAAATTTGTGACGACATCTTTAGAGAAAACGGGCAGACCGACAAACAACTTTCCCAAATATCCAAGATAACAGAAGAGTAAGACAGTGGTTAGTATAAGGAGTCTGGTGCCTTCCAAGTATTGTTGGACTCCATCTCCCATCAGCCCCAGCCAGCATGACCACCAGCCAGGGATGTTGGGAGCTGTAGGCAGGTAACATCTGGCGGGTTCCTCAGCCCTGGAGAGCAAGACTCAGTTGCTCTCTCACTTCCTTTCATCCTGTGTTTCCAGCAAACCATGGTTTGCTTAACGATGGCGTAGCACAACACTGGTTAACCCTAACCATACCCCTTTCCAATGGTACACACACCTGAAAATAAAGGGTGCCCACCACACTAAATAAATGGCACCTTCAAAAACTGATCCTTGGAATGGAGCCTTTGGGGAAATAAAAAATGGGAACCCAATGGAGCTTCAAGAGCTCTGATAAGTTCCACCCCTCAACCCATGGGAAGGACTGCAGCTCAGTGGCAGAGCATCCCTGTTTGAACCCCTGGCATCTCCAGGTAAGGCTGTATGATACCCCTGCTGGAAAACCCGGAGAGCCGCTGCCAGTCAGTGCAGACAACACTGAGGTAGGCAGACCAATAGCCTGCCTTAATGTGACAGCTTCCTATAAATTTGAGGGAGGGATGTGGCTCAGAGGCAGAGCTTCTGCTTTGCATGCAGAAGGTAACAGGTTCTCTCCAGGGCTGGGGAGAGACTCTGGTCCTGAAATCCTGAAGAACTGCTGCAGGTCAGTGCAGACCAGGTGTGGGGGAAACCTGTAGCTCTTCAGATGCTGACAGACTACAACTCCCATCATGCCTGCCCACTGACCACGCTTGCTGGGACTGATGGGAGTTGTAGTTCCACAGCATCTGGAGGGCCAAAGTTTCCCCACACTTAGTGTAGAGATGACGCTGAGCTCAAAAGGCCAACGTTCCCTTATTTTCCGAAACAAATCTCCCTGAAAACAGCTGAAACACCCTCCTCCTCATATATTGCAAATGGGAACGTGTGTGAGAGAACTTTTTGACTCAGCCCTAAGGGGAAGTAAACAGCTGTGGATTTTATAGGTGTTGCTGGACACCTGTCGTCCATAGGCCCCAGCTTTTATTACGATGGTGATTTATTATGATTTATTCAATTTATATTCCACCCTTTATCAAAAGATCATAGGGCAGTGTACAACATTAAGAACGTATTTTACTGCACATAATGGATTTTAGGATTTTATATCCTGGTTTATCACTACCCGAAGGAGTCTCAAAGCAGCTAACATTCTCCTTTCCCTTCCTCCCCCACAACAAACACTCTGTGAGGTGAGCGGGGCTGAAAGACTTCAAAGAAGTATGACTAGGCCAAGGTCACCCAGCTGCTGCATGTGGAAGAGCGGAGGCGTGAACCCTGTTCACCAGATTACGAGTCCACTGCTCTTAACTACTACACCACACTGGACATAAAACAAAGCATAGTAATAGTCATAATAATAATAATAATAATAATAATAGAATCACCACGACAGTCCCCTGCATCACCTTTAACAGGCTATATATTATTTAATGGCCGATGGTTTGGGTAAAGAGAAATGTTTTTGCCTGGCGCCTTAAGGCATGTAATGTTGGCACCAGGCGAGCTGCTCTGGGGAGAGCATTCCACAATTAGGGAGCCACCACAGAAAAGGCCCGTTCTCGTGTTGTCACCTTCCAAACCTCTTTGGCAATGAACATGGAGAAGGGACTCAGAATACAAGCGGTTGTCAACATTGGTTTGTATGGGAAGAGGCGGTCCTTATGGTATTGAGGTCCTGAGTCATGTAGTGTCCATGTCTATGCATTGAAACTAGAGAGAAATTCGTTTTTCCCTGCAATATCTTAACTCCAGGAGATCTCAAGGGAAGGGAGGGTGAGAACAGGGCAGGCGTCTCTGGTGTCTGTGTGTGGCTGCCCCATGTTGCAGTCCATAGGACTGCAAGTGGCAACCTTCTCAGAACAGAACCTTCTGGAACTATTTTCAAGAACATTGGGGGATGGTCCACTTCTCTTCATGGGGAGTGGGTAACTTCTTTTGACGCAATTGGGTCAAATGTTTCCAGTTTCTTTTTATATTACTGTAAGTTGCTAAGGATGGAGACAGGTGTACCTCACAAGGGAAGGCATTCCACAACTAGGGAGCCACCACTGAAAAGGCCCTGTCAGAGGTCAGTGGCAACTGGGCAACTCCCGGTTTTCCTTACATCTCCATGTGCAAAAGGATTAAAGATTTATTCTAAAATAACTGTGCTTTGCATGCAGAAGGGTCCCAGATTTAACCCTCAGTCTCTTCAGTTGGAAGAATGGGGGAATAAGTGGCAGTAAATATCCTTGTCTCAAACTGTGGCGAGTTGCTGCCAGTCAGAGTAGACAATACTAAGTTAGGTGAATCAATGGTCTGACTTGGAGTAAGGCAGCCTCCCACATTAAAATCCTAAGTGAACTGATGAGGAAATGCCTCCCAGTGAACTGTAGTTCAGCACTCTTAATAAACTACAGTTCCCAGGATTCCTTTCATGCTTAATTGTAGGGATCATTTCAGTTCACATTTAAACTTTCCAACCAATCAGCCATCCATTGACATTTATGCTCTTCTGGATTTTGCAGTGCAGTTTTCCAGTCAAGCATTGAGTGCAAAAGAATCATATGCTAAAGTGTGTACACCCCGCCCCTATATTATGGAAAATAACCTACAAAAATGCATCATACTAGGGGGAAACACTTTGCATGCATATATATATATATATATATATATATATATACACACACACAGTGGTACCTCTGGTTACGTACTTAATTCATTCTGGAGGTCTGTTCTTAACCTGAAACTGTTCTTAACCTGAAGCACCACTTTAGCTAATGGGGCCTCCTGCTGCTGCCACACGATTTCTGTTCTCATCCTGAAGCAAAGTTCTTAACTCAAGGTACTATTTCTGGGTTAGCGGAGTCTGTAACCTGAAGCGTATGTAACCTGAAGCGTATGTAACCTGAGGTACCACTATATATATATATATATATATATATATATATATATATATATATGATATTCAGGAGCACTTTAAAAATGCAAACCTCAACACTGATGTGAAAATATGAAGAACTGAGCTTAAGAATGAAAGAATTAGAAACTGAAATTGACAAATTTGCCCACCCCTGGGTTGCAGCCCACTGACGTCTTTTAAAAGCATCCTGCTTAGGACTTGGAAGACAACTTTCTTAACAAAAACCAGAGTAACATATAAATTGCAAACTGATCCAGGAATGTGGGGATCTGAATTAACATTGGGGAAAAACGAGAAACTGAAATGGATGGATTTGCCCAGCCTTAATACTTTAGAGGTGGGACGCGGGTGGCGCTGTGGGTTAAGCCACAAAGCCTAGGACTTGTTGATCAGCAGGTCGACGGTTCGAATCCCCGCGACGGGGTGAGCTCCCGTTGCTCGGTCCCAGCTCCTGCCAACCTAGCAGTTCGAAAGCACGTCAAAGTACAAGTAGATAAATAGGTACCGCTCCGGCGGGGAGGTAAACGGCGTTTCTGTGTGCTGCTCTGGTTCGCCAGAAGCGGCTTAGTCATGCTGGCCACATGACCCGGAAGCTGTACGCCGGCTCCCTTGGCCAGTAAAGCGAGATGAGCGCCGCAACCCCAGAGTCGGCCACGACTGGACCTAATGGTCAGGGGTCCCTTTACCTTTACCTAATACTTAAGAGACCTCTTTATCCCTTGTGCTCCCAGTGGATTGCTGTAGTCTGTGGGAGAGGTTCTCCTCCAAGTTCCAAAGATGTCACCAGCCTGCTCTGCAGTGACTCAGAACAGGGCCTTCATTGTGGCAGCCCCTGTTCCCTGGAACAGCATCCCTGTTGAGATCTGACAGGAGCCCACTTTCTCGGCTTTCTGGAAACAACTGAAGATATTTTTGTCGCCACACGCTTTCACAGCGGGAGTCTTTACCACACGTGTCCACTTATTAGGGTTTTGCTCTTGTTTTGAATGTATTTGTTGTTTTATACTCTGTAAATTGCATTGAGACACTGGTTT